GTTGCTAGACCTTCGCATTATACGCCCACCCATCCTCCCCGACCAATCTCCCTCCTATCGTTTCTGTCTTCAGTAACCTACTACCTTAATCTATGATTGAAATGCACTGTATACAAAATCGTGTGGTGGACACAAACATTTCTGATAAGTAATTTGTGTCTATTTCACAATTGATTTTTTTTTTTTTACAGAGGGTTGAGTGTATCTGCACCCAGCATCTCTGTTCTCCAGTCATATCCTCTAACTAACCCAAACAATCTATTTTTTCTGTTCTCCCTCCCCCTTGTCTGCCTTCTCTCTTTCTGTTTCTCTATCACTCTCTTTGAATGGTTATTTTGCATTCTTGCTAGTTTTATGTCATATTTCTCTCTCTCTCTCTCTCTCTCTCTCTCTCTCTCTCTCTCTCTCTCTCTCTCTCTCTCTCTCTCTCTCTCTCTCTCTCTCTCTCTGTGTATTTGGGCTCAGGTTGTGACTATTTTAGATCATATAACTGTAAAAACACATTTTCACGATGATGTATTTTTCAAATGAGAAAGAATGAGACCTTGTCTTCTATTACTGGCCGCCACTTTGCTCACCACTCACACACAGATGCTCACACCGGCACACACATTTGTGCAGGCATGCATGCACACACTTTTGACACATTGTATATGTTGAAAGCATTTCTTGTTGTCTGTGGGATTTTAAAATAGGCATCATAAACTAACCAGGCGAAGCCTTTGGCGTTTGATAACCTATACACAATCCCATTTCTGCTTCACACACTCACACACACATAAGCACGCACACGCATGCACACACACACACACGCACACACACTACTCCCTCTCCCCACACCATACACTCTCCTCTGTCAGATGTGCTGTTGGCGTGGTGTATCTATGCATAGCCTTGGGAAGATGTTATTTTTTTCTGCCTGCACTACAGACTGCTATATCGGTCTGCTAATACAGGACTAGTAAAGGCCCAGTGTACTACTTTCAACATTATATATTTTTTTCTTGTGATTTTTCAGGGGGTGCTGTAGCACCCCTACTTCCTGCGGCTACGTGTCTATGTAGTGACTGCTGGTTAATCCATCTGTGTGATCTCTGGTCATCAGAGAGGCCTTCATAATCACCTCACATCGCACATCCCCCATCTCCTATTTCTTTGTTCTAACACAGACCAAATGGCCCAATGTCTCGATGCTGGAATATTGTTGTTTTGGTGTGCAAATAATCAACGAGACTAAAAAACTAATATTGTAAGCGCTTAGAATAGAACTGTCATCAGACGTATCCTTTCAACTCTCTTTCAAGCCTCTCTTTTCTTAGGTGATTGTGTCTGTTTCCTTTCATATGACTTTGAATGCTCCTGCCTTTGAAGATGTGTACTATTTCACTCATGTCCCTGCAGTTGTTCAGCACTAGTTATTGTACAGTGTCTGAAAGGCCCAGAGTAAAGCCTGTCATCTGACTGAATAACACGGACATGAACAACCTGGGCAAGAATTCAATCATCTCATGTACCCTGTACAATCCCATCAATAGTCAACAGTCCAAATCTGCATGTACCACTGGATTACTACACATGTTTTTAGGACGTCCTTATCCAATGAAATTACAAAACTGATATGAACTAAGTTGTCTGGTAGCTTATTGTACATAGCCTACTGACAGTGTGTGTGTGTGTGTGTGTGTGTGTGTGTGTGAGTACTGAAAGTCAGTGTGTGTGTGTGCCGACACTGAGTGTGTTTAAATGTACGTACTGACTTTGAGTGCGTACGTATCAAAGTCATGCTGAGTAGCCACAACTACTTCCGCTGCTCCCCCTATGGACACCCCTCAATGGACAATTACCCTGCCCACACCCCAATGGACATTTATATTTATCATTGTCACAGTTGTAAAAATGTATATATATATATATATATATATTTATTATTGTTTCATTCACACTTACACTTTTGGAGCATTGAGCCTAAGAATTTAAATGTACACTGCAACTATATCTGTGACCCTGTACATGTATACATCTAATCTAATCTAATCTAAATAAACTGTTTCTAGATGGCATCTTGTAGAAAGGGGCTAGGCTAAAGTGTTAATGTCTGATGGAGGTCAGGCAACAGGTGTCAGTGTGCGTGTGTGTGTGTGTGTGTGTGTGGGAGATTGCAATGAACAAATACATAAATACTTAATCAAATGCACTGAAGGATAATGTTTTTTAGGGTCGTTCCACAAAATGAGTCCATTTCGGGTAGTTTAATTAGGTAAAAAATTAAAATTAATTAACATTCTGTCATGATGAGCACATGTTCAACTTACAGGTCCAATGCAGCTGAAATATCAGGCGGTCTTTTCAAACAGCTCTTAAACTAAAAGGGCATTATCCTAATTTTCACAATTTCACAGTATTATTCCAACCTCATAGTGTGGAAATATATACTGTATTCAGTGCATTCGGAAAGTATTCAGAGCCTTTGACTTTTTCCACATTTTGTTACGTTACAGTCTTATTCTAAAATGAATGAAATCTTTTTTTTCCCCCCTTATCAATCTACACACAATACCCCATAATGACAAAGCAAAAATCATTTAAAAAAATGTTTTGCAAGTGTATAAAAAATACGAAACTGAAATATCACATTTACATAAGTATTCAGACCGCTTACTCAGTACTTTGTTGTTGAAGCAGCGATTACAGCCTCAAGTCTTCTTGGATATGATGCTACAAGCTTGGCACACCTGTATTTGTGTAATTTCACCCATTCTTCTCTGCAGATCCTCTCAAGCTCTGTCAGGTTGGATGGGGAGCATCGATGCACAGCTATTTTCAGGTCTCTCCAGAGATGTTCGATCGGGTTCAAGTCCGGGCTCTGGCTGGGCCACTCAAGGACATTCAGAGACTTGTCCCGAAGCCACTCCTGCGTTGTCTTGGCTGTGTGCTTAGGGTCGTTGTCCTGTTGGAAGGTGAACCTTCGCCCCAGTCTGAGGTCCTGAGCGCTCTGGAGCAGGTTTTCATCAAGGATCTCTCTGTACTTTGCTTCAATTATCTTTCCCTCGATCCTGACTAGTCTCCCAGTCCCTGCTGCTGAAAAACATCCCCACAGCATGATGCTGCCACCACCATGCTTCACCATAGTGATGGTGCCAAGTTTCCTCCAGACATGACGCTTGGCATTTAGGCCAAAGAGTTCAATCTTGGCTTAATCAGGCCAGAGAATCTTGTTTCTCATGGTCTGAGAGTCTTTAGGTGATTTTTTGGCAAACTCTAAGTGGGCTGTCATGTGCCTTTTACTGAGGAGTGGCTTCCGTCTGGCCACTCTACCATAATGGCCTGATTGGTGGAGTGCTGCAGAGATGGTTGTACATCTGGAAGGTTCTACCATCTCCACAGAGGAACTCTAGAGCTCTGACAGAGTGACCGTTGGGTTCTTGGTCACCTGCCTGACCAAGGCCCTTCTCCCCCGATTGCTCAGTTTGGCCGGGCAGCCAGCCATAGGAAGAGTTTTGGTGGTTCCAAACGTCTTCCATTTAAGAATGATGGAAGCCACTGTGTTCTTGGGGACCTTCAATGCTGCAGAAATGTTTTGGTACCCTTCCCCAGATCTGTGCCTCGACACAATCCTGACTCGGAGCTCTACGGACAATTCCTTCGACCTCATGGCTTGGTCTTTGCACTTACATGCCTTTCCAAATCATGTCCAATCAATTTAATTTACCACAGGTGGACTCCAATCAAGTTGTAGAAACAGGATGCACCTGAGCTCAATTTTGAGTCGCATAGCAAAGGGTCTGAATACTCATGTAAATAAGGTATTTCTGTTTTTTATTTGTAATATATTTGCCAAAAAATCTAAAAAGCTGTTTTGGCTTTCTCATTATTGGGTATTGTGTGTAGATTGATGAGGAAAAAAATTATTTAATCAATTTTAGAATAAAGATGTACCGTAACAAAATGTGAAAAAATGGAAGGGGTCTGAATACTTTCCGAATGCACTGTAAATTACAGAAAAATCACGTTTTTGACTGCACTGGGCCCTTAATATGTTTTCCCATCTAAAAAAAGACTATAGTAAGTGCCAAATAAAGTAACAGGGTTGACTGTAACAGGTTTGATGTAATCTTAGCTCAGCCATAACTCCCATTGTGACAGGGGAATGGAAGCTTGTTGTGTGCAACAGGGAGGGGATATTGAATGCAAGCTTCACCCAAAAATGTAAATTGGTAAAACATTTCTTGCCTGTCTATCTATGGGCAACAGGGTTGACATGTTATGCTCGATGTGCTCAGTTTTCCACCACAAAACATTAGAAAAGGGACAAAAAAGAGTACAACCAACTCACCTGCTTTTACACTATGAATTTACTATTAGATGTTCAATGTAAATTATAATAATACTTTTTTTAAAGGAATAGTTTCACCATATTAAAATGAGAGTTCAGTTCACGTAACAGGGTTGACCTGAAAATGAGTTTTTGTTATTATAATTTTTTTATGAATCACTAATCACATTAAATCAATTATAATTCTCAGAAAAGACTGTCAAAGCAACAAAATAACCAGGGCTTTACAATTATGGTGAAAAATATGGGGTTAAGTAGGTAAAAATCTTCAGACAACTCACAGAGAGCGCACAGAGGGACATTAGCTAGTGTTTATTCATATAAAGAAATCTGATTTATTGAATTGTCCATGTGGTCTATATTTTAGGGCACTTCATTTAATATAACAGGCTTTTAAAAACCTAAATTGGTGCACAATTTCTTCTTAAAATATCAAAGGGACGCAAAAGGGACTCGTTTCGTGGAACGACACATCAATTGTCATTTGACAAAAGCTGCTTGCATGTCTGACTAGTGCTCTCCATTTCTCTCCCTCTCCAACCCCCTCTACCCCCTCTCTTTGAACCCTCTGTCCCACTTTCACCTCCTCCCCCTCTCCATATCTCTTTCTCTCCTCCTCTTCCCCCTCTTTCTATCTTTACTCCTCTCTAGGCAGTAAGGCGCTGACATGGCTGTTCCTCCAGGACAGCCACCTCCTTCTCCGCAATCTCCTCCTCTTTTCCTCCTCTTCCTCATCTTCCTCTCCTCCCCTCCTCCCCTCCTCTCTCGGCCTCTCATCCCTCATCCTTCTATTAACGTGGCGGTGGTGTTCTGTGGCTCTGCTTACCAGAATGAGGTCAGGGGTCATTTGAGCAGAGAGAACTTCGCTGATCTTCCCCTAGGTATGAACCTATACCAGTTTTGCCACTGTATGTTCTTTACATTAATACTTATGTGCTCTTTACAATGTTCACTTTGGAGTGCAACATTCTTTCTTCTTCTTCTTCTTCTTCTTCTTCTTCTTCTTAGAAGTGAACCCGGTCACTGTTCTGGTTAACGACACCAACCCTCGTGCCCTGCTGACGAGTCTCTGTGAAACTATGGCGACAGAGAAACTGCATGGGGTCGTGTTCGAGGACGATGTGGGATCAGGAGCTGGACCTCAGGTCAGTCAATCGATCAATCAATCAATCAATCAATCATGTTAACCAAGGCGGAAGGTTAGCTCAGATACTGACCTCTGTCCTTTGGGGATATTGAAAAAACGGGATAGATATGAGATGGCAGAGGAGGTGGTAAAAGTTAATCTATATGTTGTGTGTATGTATTTGACTATCTCCTGGACCTAATAAAAGCAGTTGGCAGAAGTGGCTCAGATCCTAGACTTCCTGTCGACTCAGACAGCTCTGCCCATCGTTGGCATCAGCGGAGGATCTACCGTCGTCATACCTCACAAGGTAAGACAACACATAATACTGTATCTATACTCAAACTACCACACAAATCACAACTAACCCTAGCATAACACATAATGTAGTACTAACACTCCTCTAGGTACCACATAATGTGAGACAAATCACCTATACTGTATAGCCCTCAAACTCAACTCTGGACCTTGAAGGGAGTTCCACTGCTTTTTTTCGGTCTTTCCCTCAAATCAGGGACTGATTTAGACCTGGGACACCAGGTGGGTGCAATTAATTATCAGGTAGAACAGAAAACAGCAGCAGTCCGGACCTCGTAGGGTAAGATTTGATACTCTGCTGTACAGGGTACCAACTCAAACACCTACAGACAGCAATGCAACACCACAACACCACTACAGACATGCTGTTTAACACCAGTCTGTAAGTAAATGTGTGAGTTCTGTCTAAACATGCAGCACAGAGCAGGGATGGGAAATAGAAGTATGTCTTCTACCTCATCTCCATCAACCTTTATCAGATAATAGCTTGGAAAGAGTTGTTCTGCTAGGAAACAAGCAGGAAATAATTCTGAGAATTAGACAGAGATGAGAAAGATGAGAGTGATCTATACCTCAATCAGTCATCCTATACAGATAAATACAGACACATTCTACCGTGATGATGTGCACAGTGTCTCACAGTAATGCGTTCAGACAGACACATTGAGCTTGATGCTTAGAGTGTAGAGAGATCATCGATCATCAGATCACTTCTGGTTCTGTAATTGTTGAAGTAGCCTGATCACTACAGTTTCCGCTGAACCTCACCCTGTCCTCACCCTCTCTTCTTAATCTTCACTTTTTCCCTCCTCTTGTCCCTAACTCATCCCTCACCCCTCCTCAAACTTATCTTCCCACTTTCCCCTACTATACCTCCCTCTCATCTCTCTCTCTCATCACTCCTTCCTTCCCCTTCCCCTTTTCCTCCCCTCCCCTCCCCTCCTTTCCCCTCACCCAAGAGATGTGAGGCGCTAACACCTGTCATCAACACCCTGTATTTATAGTATCAACAGTAGCACTCACACACATACAGTGCAGACACATTCACTCACACAAAAACACACACACACACATACTCCCTCTCTCTCTCACTCACGTGCCCATGTCTAGTCTGATGTTCAGTTTTAGCAGGGAATTAGTAAAGAGTGGTCGAACACTTTAGACAAGTCAATGAATAGAGCAGCACAGTGTTTCTTCCTATTCAAACAATTTACCACATAGTTTAAAACCAGTGATGCTCCCGAGATGGTGCTCTGCCCTGGTCTGAAGCCCGACTGATGCACATTTAGAATCGATTTTGAAGTAAAGAAATATATTAGCTGAGCATTAATCAAGGATTCCAAATGTTTTGCTAGGCAAGAAAGTTTAGAAATAGAGTGATCATTATTAAGGTCACAAGGGTCACCACCTTATGAAGACCAAAACAAAGAAAAAATTCACAAAATGTCGTCATAATATATGCACGAACTGTTCCGAACTGTTTCGGATGGGAAGCATGCGGACGCCTTAAGCCATCCCTGTGATCGGGTCTGGTGACTCGTGTATCTGTAATTTAATTTAATTTAATTTAATATAAGTAAGATACGGTGGAAGTTTGTGGAAGAGGGCTTTATAAACAAAAAGAGATTAGTGGATCGATCTACAAGATTTAAGAGAGGGCCAGCCCACTTTCTGATATAGGATGCAATGATGTGTACTGAACCTGTCACCTGTAATAAAGCTAAGCGCGTTGTGATAAACTGCAGCTAATGGTTTCAGTGTAGTGGCAGCTGCATTCATATAAATGGTGTGATCTGTTTCTAAAGAAGAGGCCCATTTTTATTCCCAACTTCTTAACTAACTCATCCATATGCTTTTTAAAAGATAACTTTACGTCAATCCAGATCCCCAGATATTTATAAGAAAACTTAATGTACTTGGTTTTATCTGCATTAAGTATCAATTTCAGTTCAAGCAAAGGCTTTCTGCAAAGCCACAAAGGCAGATTGCAGCTCCGAAAAAGCCTGGTCATCCATGGGGGCAATAGCATACACAATAGTGTCATCTGCATACAGGTGTATGCTACAATTCTTTACAGATAGACCAATATTTATATAGAGAGTAAAAAGTACAGGACCTAAAATCGTCCCCTGTGGGACACCTTTCGTAAAATATCAAGGAAACCTTGGCTTAACGCAATCAGAAAATACACATTATGTCCTGTCTGTCAGGTAGTTTTTATACCAATTACATAGCGCATGATCCAGGTCAATTTCAGACAACCTTTGAATCAGTAAAGAGTGGTCGAACGCTTTAGACAAATCAATGAATAGAGCAGCACAGTGTTTCTTCCTAACCAAACAATTTACCACATTGTTTAAAAGCAGTGATGCTCCCGAGATGTTGCTCTGCCCTGGTCTTAGCTGAGCATTAATCAAGGATTCAAAAATGTTTGCTAGGCAAGAAAGAGCGATAATTATTAATGTCACAAGGGTCACCACCTTTGTAAAGGGGGAGAACATGGGCAGCCTTCCAGACCTTATTGATAGCACCAAAGCCAATCGTTAAGTCAAAAATTGTGTCAGTGATTAAGTGGAGCAGAAAGCTGCAGCAAGAAGGGGTCAAGCAAATCAGCCCCAGTGGATTAATTTTTTTACATCAGTCTTGAGCAAGGCATTTAGTACATCACAAAATTAAAATGGAAAAAATTAAAATAATGGTTCACTAATAGTTGACAGGGTTTCCATAGAGCCAACTAAAGGAGCGCAGTCGTCTGTCTGAGCAGGGTCAGTTAAACCATTATTTATTTCAAATAGTCCTTAAGAGTCTAATGACATACCCATGCGTCAATCTAAGTAACATAATAAAAATCCCCATCAAAATCCATACGTTTAAGCTAGAGATATTCGTCAATTATTATTTAATTTTTTTACCCTATTTTACCAGGTAAGTTGACTGAGAACACGTTCTCATTTACAGCAACGACCTGGGGAATACTTACAGGGGACAGGATGGGGGATGAATGAGCCAATTGGAAGCTGGGGATAGTTAGATGGCCATGATGGTATGTCAGACCATGAGACATCCCAAAAATCGGTCTTCTCACGAAAACGTCTGAAGTGTCCAAACGATTTGGCCTACTAACGAATGAGACTCTCACAAACACAATGGTTTTCTCCGTTTTGCTCTACGACCCACACAAGTGTCACGGGACTCGTCTGAAGGTAACCCATACAAATGAATGGATGTATGGAGGTAGTTTTGTGCCAACAAATATAAGGGGTTCAATATCTGTAAAAATATATATATACATTTCCTAATTCCTTATGATTTATTTGTTGACTGTCTTTTTTGTCATTTATAAATGAGTTATTCAATGCGTTTCTATGGGCTATAGTAGTAAAGGCCAAATTCAATATTTTATCCCAAAAAAAATTTCATACATTTTTTAGACCTAAAGGGATCCTAAAATTCTAAATAAAATAGCTAAATGATCCATGGTATGACCATCTTAAAATAATTCCATATGTTAGCTTAGTAAAACCTTCCCCCTGATTAAATGCATCACTTATCTCTCTTTGTTCAGTAATGATGCCAGTACCAGACAGAACTTGCTTAGGCAGCGAGTGGGTGGATCCCTGCTACAAACAAATGCATATGTTGGCATAGGGCTAAATGTATGATAAATAATGCAAACTTTTTGGGGATCATGACACTTAGAGAACATGATGCCACAAGTGTTGATTTCACATATAGTAGCTACCCCTCCCCCTTTTTTCAGTATATCACACCTGAAAATGTTGTAGTCAGCAATTTCAATGTCCTTATCCATGATTAAACCATTGAGCCAGGTCTCTGTGAGAACCAGAATATCAGGGTTCGTGTCATATACCCAGACATCAAGAAGGTCCATCTTTGACATCAAGCTTTGCACGTTTATGTGTAACAGCCCAAGCCCTCTACATGCTTTGAAAACTGAGGGGGTATCCATGTTTATGGTATTTTAAATAATAGCACTGGAAGAACTGACCACAGTGGGCTTCCCATTTGGGCTAACAGTAACAGAGCTAACATTGGAATTCAAATGTATGTGCACAGGAATATTACTGACAACAATGCTGGGAATATGTAGCAGTACGATGATAACACTGTGAAATAGTGGGAATGTGAATAATTACCTGAGCAGGGGTTGGGCTGTTGTTGAGTCAATGTTTTAGATAGAAAGGCATCAAACAAAAAGACATGATGGAGCTATTGAGAGACAGTGATTGATTGAGTGGAATTACATCAGTCATAATCTGGTGTCTATATGAAGCTGTAGCCTACTGACAGAAGTCAGTACTTTAGTTCAACTGAGTACAGGCTTAACTGAATGAACAACAAAGACAGAATGCAATATGACATTTTATTGAACAGTTTGGGGAATGGCCTCGCTTCCGAGGTAAGATCCTCGGAGACAGATGATGTGATGGCAGGTAGCACAATGCTGGGCTGATGGCAGTGAGTGTGTGTGTGTGTGTGTGTGTGTCTGTCTATGTGCTTGTGTGTGCGCGTGTGTGTGTGTGACACAGTCAGCCAGCGGTCTCTCAGAGCTCTGCCACTCTATTAAACACTTAATTAGACCCTTTAGGAGGTAGAGACTCCCTGCTGCCCCTGTCACTCTCTCATCTATTACACTCTCCCTATCTCTACTCCCTCTCTATCTGTCCCCTTCTTTCTCCGTCTCTCTTCCACTCTATGTTTCTTTCTCTCTCTCTCTTTCTCCCCCTCTCTCCTCCCCCGCTCGCTCGCTCGCTTTCTCTCTCTCTCTCTCTCTCTCTCTCTCTCTCTCTCTCTCTCTCCTCTCTATTCGTCTGCTTCTCTCTCTCTCCTTCTCTCTCTCTCTCCTCCTCTTCTCTATCTCCGTCCTCCTCTCTCTCTCTCTCTCTCACTATCCCCTCTCTTTTTCTCTTTCTCTTCTCCACTCTATCTCTCTCCCTTTCTTTTTCTCCTTCCCTCTATCCCGCTCTCTCTCTTTCTTTTTCTATCCTCCCTCTCTCCATCTCACACTCGCGGTCTGTGAGTGAGTATCTGGCTCTATCTGTAATTAGAGTATAGATAACCCTTGTCTCTTCTTTAACAGGGTCTAATTGACAGCTTGTTAAAGACTCTGAGAGATGAGTCACTCACTGACACACAATCAGCCCTGGCTCTTAAAGCTAAGGTATTGCTTTGAGACATCTCAAAGGCCTTTGTCTTAAAAAAAATGGTGCTATCTAGAACCTAAAAGGGTTCTCCGGCTGTCCCCATAGGAGAACCCTTTGAAGAACCATATTGGTTCCAGGTAGAACCCTATTGGGTTCCATGTAGAACTTTTCCCCCAAAGGGTTCTACATGGAACACAAAATAGTTATACTTGGAACCAAAAAGGGTTCTACATGGAACCAAAAAGGGTTCTCCTATGGGGACAGCCGAATAAGCCTTTTGGCTTTTTTCTAAGAGTGTGTACAGAGACAGCTAACAGGCCTATGTCTAAGACAGTGTAGAGAGGCAGCTAGAATATACATGCAGCTCTATGAGACAAAACAGCTGAAAGCCAAAGTGTTGAGAGACAGCTTTCTTTATAAGACACACAGTAATAGAGATCTCCACCCTCTGACGTCTGTCTGTCTGTCAAGAAGACATGACAAGTTTGGCAAGAATGAAACTGGACACTGAATAGAAAACAACATGAAGTAGATAAAACTCTTCTGATCCACCCTGTTCATATCTAGGCTGATCTACTCTATAGTCCCTGGTCTTTGTTAACGCTACAACGAAACTCATGCGTAGGGTCTCTTACAACAGATTAAGATTAAGATAACTTTATTGGTCAATTGCACCCAACCGAAGGTCCAACCAAAATTGTACTTTCACTTTTAACCCAACCCCTCCGAAAGACACACATACACATACAGTTGAAGTCGGAAGTTTACATACACTTAGGTTGGAGTCAATAAAACTTGTTTTTCAACCACTCCACAAATTTCTTGTTAACAAACTATAGTTGTTGCAAGTCGGTTAGGACATCTACTTTGTGCATGACACAAGTCATTTTTCCAACAATTGTTTACAGACAGATTATTTCACTTATAATTCACTGTATCACAATTCCAGTGGGTCAGAAGTTTACATACACAAAGTTGACTATGCCTTTAAACAGCTTGGAAAATGTAATGGCTTTAGAAACTTCTGATAGGCTAATTGACATAATTTGAGTCAATTGGAGGTGGATGTATTTAAAGGCCTACCTTCAAACTCAGTGCCTCTTTGCTTGACATCATGGGAATATCAAAAGAAATCAGCCAAGACCTCAGAAAAAAAATGGTAGACCTCCACAAGTCTGGTTCATCCTTGGGAGCAATTTCCAAATGCCTGAAGGTACCACGTTCATCTGTACAAACAATAGTACGCAAGTATAAACACCATGGGTCCACGCAGCCGTCATACTGCTCAGGAAGGAGACGCGTTCTGTCTCCTAGAGATGAACGTACTTTGGTGCGAAAAGTGCAAATCAATCCCAGAACAACAGCAAAGGACCTTGTGAAGATGCTGGAGGAAACAGGTACAAAAGTATCTATATCCACAGTAAAACGAGTCCTATATCGACATAACCTGAAAGGCCGCTCAGCAAGGAAGAAGCCACTGATCCAAAACCGCCATAAAAAAGCCAGACTACGGTTTGCAACTGTACATGGGGACACAGATCGTACTTTTTGGATAAATGTCCTCTGGTCTGATGAAACAAAAATAGAACTGTTTGGCCATAATGACCATCGTCATGTTTGAAGGAAAAAGGGGGTACTTGCAAGCCGAAGAACACCATCCTCAATCCTATAGAAAATGTGTGGGCAGAACTGAAAAAGCGTGTGCGAGCAAGGAGGCCTACAAACCTGACTCAGTTACACCAGCTCTGTTAGGAGGAATGGGCCAAAATTCACCCAACTTATTGTGGGAAGCTTGTGGAAGGCTACCCGAAACGTTTGACCCAAGTTAAACAATTTAAAGGCAATGCTACCAAATACTAATTGAGTGTATGTAAACTTCTGACCACTGGGAATGTGATGAAAGAAATAAAAGCTTAAATAAATCATTCTCTCTACTATTATTCTGACGTTTCACATTCTTAAAATAAAGTGGTGATCCTAACTGACCTAAGACAGGGAATCTTTACTAGGATGAAATGTCAGGAATTGTGAAAAACTGAGTTTAAATGTATTTGGCTAAGGTGTATGTAAACTTCCGACTTCAACTGTAGTTACATATACAGGTTTTGGAGAGGTGCGGAGGGCTGCCACACTGGGCGACCGGGAGCAGTTGTTGTGGGAGGTTAAGTTCTCAAGGGCACAACGGCAGACAATGGCATCTAGGATTTGATGCGATCAACCCTCCGGTTGCCAACTTATTTCCCGCCAGAATCAGATTTTTCCCCGCTGGCTCGCCTCACTAACCACTACGGTACCTGCAGGTGGGGAGGGAAGTGTGTGTGTTTCTGTGTGTGTGTGTGATCCTATTCACAGATAAAAGGGTTCAATTGCGCTTGATTATCAATGGCCCTGATGATGTAGATAATGATGAGGAGGCATATCGTTGATGATGTCTTTGGTGTGTTTAAAAGGACCCTGCTATTCAGTCTCAGCCACCTATTTCTGGTTCCTTTTTTTGTCCTTTATCCTCTCTCCCTGATCTATCCATCACTAAACACGGAATGATGAAAGGAAGATGAAAGACAAAAAAAAAGAGGAAAGGAGCTGAATGTCTTTTGTCAGGTTGTGCATGTATCAATCAAATGATCAAGAGGGTACGATATAGAGGGGGGAGGAAGACAGAGTGCGTGTGTGTGTGTGTGTGATCGTATATATTCTGGCTATTGGTGTGTGTGTGTGGGCGTGCTTGCATGTGTTATTATATGCTTTCTTTGGTGTGTGTGTGTGTTCGATCACCGCAGTCGTATATGCTTGCGATTTGTGTGTGTGTTTGTGTGTTTGTGTCCGCGCGCATACGTGCGTGCCTTTGTGTTTCCCGGGCTATGAGTCATATCTGTTGGTTGTGTTCAGTAGACAGTGGTGTATCCAGATGTTGTGTTGAGGGACTGGTACACCTGCTAACATCAGTATCTCCTAACAAGAGAGAAGAATACTCACATAACAGCGTGATAAACACTCATAAACACCTACCGTAACCCAGCCAGGGCTCCATGGAAAATAGCTCTGGTCTATCCAGAAACACATGGTAATCATAATAATGGTCATAGAGTGGAACAGTAAAAAAAACTGTATGTAAGCAGCTATTGACATGAATGTGCACCAGTATGGCTTACACTTTCTGTTTGTGTAAACTGCAGTCTAATATTACTCTCTTTACTTGTTTGACAGTATTGAATGATATATACAGGTAGCTAATTTGGATGTTTAATGATAGTATGATGCAATGATCAAGACTTCAACATTCATTCTTTTGTAACATTATTATTATTATTATTTATTTTTTAACAATACAAAACATCCACACACAAATGACAACATACAGACTCACACAAACATCCACAAAATCCCCCCTGCCCAGACCCACCTGTTCACACCCCCATCTCCAGCGCCTGCGTCACTCTCCACCACATGGCCTCAAACTGCACCATTTTGTTTCTCTCTGTCGCCCACACACTTTCAACATTTAGATAATAAAGCATTTGACCTTTACATTGTGTTAACGATGGAGGATTGGTTGATTTCCAGTTTTTAAGTATATGTTTTTTCAAGATGATTGACGAGAAATGTATCGTCCAACCAATTGGGTATCTCACTGCACCGTCATATGCCATGTCTTGAAATATTCAGACAGAGTGATTGAAAGGATATTTACATTGTAATACTTCTGACAGACAACTTTCTAACTACACCCATAACTTTTGGACTTTATAGCATTCCCAGAAGGCATGGACTATTGAGGCATTGTTAGTTTTAATCTTAAGACATGATTATGCCTTTGTGCTGTAGAAATTGTGAATGTTGTATCTTGTGCAATAAATGCTATGCATTAGTTTATAGTGGATTAAGCTTACATTTTCGTTAAATGTAATTTCGTTAGTTATGTTCCAACATTCCCTCCATCTTGTGCCAATATCAGTTTTTTAAAGTCTTGGTTCCAATAGTTAATATTTTTTTCTAAGAGATTGTCAGTTGGATAGGCTGTCTGCAAAGGTTTTGTATATCTTATCATATTAATATCCTTTTCTGACTCAAATAGGATTCCCTCAAGACTGCTCTGATATCCAAAATATTTAAAATCAACATTTCTTGATATTAAACTTTTAAGTTGCATGTATTCGAAAGTATCTACATTGGTCAGTCTAAAATAGCTTTTTGGTTTCTATGCCTTTAGTTTTCCATGTGGACCAATTTATCGATGAATTCTGAAAAGCTATACTGTCACGCGACGTGTATGCGGTCAGAAGGCGAGTGCCAAATCGGCATACTCAGGAGGAATGTGCATGGTGGGAATTTGGTTCGGACTTTCCACCATCGTTGCCCCTACGGAAACACCTACACACTGCCCGACACACTGATCAGACCATCCCTTGAGAGCCCTCTGTTGCCATGAAATGTTGGGGTCATGAGATGTTAACCAGGGAAGCCCCAACACCACGGGAAACGCAGGAGAGTCAATCAAATACAACCGTATAATCTCCTCATGGCCCTCCTGCGTCTTCATCTTAAGTGGCGCTGTGACCTCCCTAATCAATCCCGACCCCAAAGGGCGGATATCTAGGGCATGGATGGGGAAGGGCACATAAACTGGTACAATAGGAATCCCTAACTTATACGTGAAACGGCGATCGATAAAATTCCCAGCTGCACCTGAATCTACTAGCGCCTTATGCTGGGAGTGAGGAGAAACCTCGGGAAACACAACTTTAATACACATATGTACAACAGAGAGCTCTGGGTGAGTTGGGTGCTTACTCACCTGGAATGACTCATCAGTGCGCTGCCTACTGCCTCGATTCCTAGGAGACCCTCCCCAGCACCGACCCGCAGTGTGTCCTCTGCGGCCACAGTTGGTGCAGAGGATGGCCTCTCTCCTGGTCTCTCTCCTAGTCTCCCTAGCACCAGCACCCCCGAGCTCCATAGGGCTCGGCTCGGAAGTGCTGGGGGATGGAATGGACGGCCCCAACTCCGGACGTCCCTGTTTGAGATGTATCAAGTCTGGAAGACTTTTGCCATTATATTGCTTATAAGCTTTGTTATTATTTTATTGTCACAATTTCGGTCTGTAATCAGCAGGGGACTCTCCACATTCTCCTGGTTTTAATATAACAGAAGTACTTTGCTTTATGTTTTTTGTGTGTTTTCTGTTAAAAGTCTGCTCAGCCCACATGCTCTATATATGTAATGTAGATAATAACTATGTATTCACACTATGACTCTCCCATTCTGTCAAGGGCTGAGGTAAGTGTGGTGTGTAAGTCAGGCGCAGGCCACCGAAGCTTAGTCCAACAAAGTTTACTAGTTAACCACTAGGCAAACATACAATAAACGATCTCAAAAACACACAGAGGCGAGCGATTACGCAAACTGTGCGTAAACTCCAAAACAACAAACAGAGCAAACACGCAGCACTAGCTGACATGCGAAAAACAACACACAACCTAACCAATACAAAACAGGCAACTTATAGAACACATAATCAGACACAAACGGACACAGGTGCAATAGACAGACAAAAGCAATCAAACATAGAAACATTCAACGGTGGCAGCTAGTACTCCGGGGACGACGAACGCCGAAGCCTGCCCGAACAAGGAGGAGGAGCAGCCTCGGCAGAATCCGTGACAGTACCCCCCCTTGACGCGCAGCTCCAGCCGTGCGCCGACCCCGGCCTCGGGGCCTGCCAGGAGGACGCGGACCCGGGCGCGTGGGATGCCCACGGTGGAACTCAGTCAGGAGGGATGGATCTAGGATGTCCCTCCTAGGCAACCAGCACCGTTCCTCTTGACCATACCCCTCCCACTCCACGAGATACTGGAGACCACTCATCCGGCGCCTCGAGTCCAAGATGGTCCGGACCCTGTACGCCGGGGCCCCCTCGATGTCCAAAGGGGGCGGAGGGGTCTCTCCTATCTCATCTTCTTGGAGTGGGCCAGCTACCACCAGCCTGAGAAGAGACACATGGAACGAGGGGTTAATATTCTTGTAATCAATAGGCAGTTGTAACCTGTAACACACCTCGTTCAATCTTCTCAGGACTTTAAAGGGCCCCACAAACCGCCGACCCAGCTTCCGGCAGGGCAGGCGGAGGGGCAGGTTTCGAGTCGAGAGCCAGACTCGATCTCCCGGTGCGTATACTGGTCCCTCACTGCAGTGGCGATCGGCGCTCGCCTTTTGTCGACTGATGGCCCGCTGCAGATGGACATGTGCAGCGTCCCACGTCTCCTCCGAGCGCTGAATCCACTCATCCACCGCAGGGGCCTTGATCTGGCTCTCGTGCCATGGTGCCAGGACCGGCTGATACCCTAAAATACACTGGAAAGGTGTTAAATTGGTGGAGGAGTGGCGGAGAGAGTTCTGGGCCATCTCTGCCCAGGGGATATACCTAGACCACTCCTCCGGCCGGCCCTGGCAATAGGACCTCAGAAACCTACCCACATCCTGGTTGACTCGTTCAACCTGCCCATTGCTCTCTGGGTGGTACCCCGAGGTAAGGCTCACCGAGACCCCCAAGCGTTCCATGAACGCCCACCAGACTCTGGAGGTGAACTGGGGACCTCGGTCAGACACAATATCCTCGGGGACCCCATAGTGCCGGAACACGTGGGTAAATAGGGCCTCAGCGGTCTGTAGGGCAGTAGGGAGACCCGGCATTGGGAGGAGACGACAGGCCTTGGAAAACCGATCCACAACGTCCAAAATGGTGGTATTCCCCTGGGAGGGGGGAAGGTCGGTCACAAAATCCACCGAGAGGTGGGACCATGGTCGTTGTGGAACGGGCAGGGGATGTAACTTTCCCCTGGGCAAATGTCTAGGCGCCTTACACTGGGCGCACACCGAGCAGGAGGAGACATAAACCCTCACATCCCTAGCTAACGTTGGCCACCAGTATTTCACACTAAGGCAGTGCACTGACCGGTCAATACCTGGATGTCCAGAGGAGGGTGATGTATGAGCCCAATAAATAAGGCGGTCACGAACCTCGAGCGGAACGTACGTCCGCCCCACAGGACACTCTGGGGGAGTAGGGTCGGTATGCAGTGCCCGCTCGATCTCCGCATCGACCTCCCACACAACCGGAGCCACCAGACAAGACTCCGGCAGTATGGGAGTAGGCTCGATGGACCTCTCCTCTGTGTCATACCGCCGGGACAGGGCGTCTGCCTTACCGTTCTGGGACCCTGGGATGTATGTGATCTTAAAAACAAACCGGGTCAGGAACATGTTCCACCTAGCCTGACGAGGGTTCAATCTCCTAGCTGCCCGGATGTACTCCAGGTTACGGTGGTCAGTCAGAATGAGGAAAGGGTGTTGCCTCCACACCTTTAGGGCCTGGACTACAGCCAACAGCTCCCTGTCCCCTACATCATAATTACGCTCCGCTGAGCTGAGCTTCTTAGAGTAGAACGCACAGGGGCGGAGCTTGGGTGGCGTGCCGGACCGTTGCGACAGGATTGCCCCAATACCGGCCTCGGACGCGTCTACCTCAACTTGAAATGGTAAAGCGGGGTCCGGATGCGCCAGCACCGGAGCCGAAGTGAACAGGTTCTTCAGTCTAACAAATGCTCTGTCCGTTTCAGCTGACCACTGCAAACGCACCGGACCCCCCTTTAGCAGGGATGTAATGGGAGCTGCCACCTGTCCAAAGCCCCGGATAAACCTCCAGTAGTAATTAGCAAAACCCAAAAACTGCTGCACCTCTTTTACAGTGGTTGGAGTTTGCCAATTACGCACGGCCGACACATGGTCAACCTCTATCTTCACACCAGACGCGGACAATCGATAACCCAAAAAGGAGATGGACTCCTGGAAAAACAGGCATTTCTCTGCCTTAACATACAAGTCATGCTCCAACAGCCTCCTCAATACTCGGCGCACCAGGGCTACATGCTCGGCTCGGGTAGAAGAGTACACTAGGATGTCGTCAATGTATACTACCACACCCTGCCCATGCATGTCCCGGAAAATCTCGTCAACAAAGGATTGGAAGACTGAAGGAGCATTCATTAACCCGTATGGCATGACGAGATACTCGTAATGACCCGAGGTGGTGCTAAATGCTGTTTTCCATTCATCCCCCTCCCTAATGCGCAACAGATTGTACGCGCTCCTGAGATCCAACTTTGTGAAGAACCGCGCTCCGCGTAATGACTCCGTCATAGTCGCAATCAGAGGAAGAGGGTAACTGTACTTAACCGTGATCTGATTGAGACTACGGTAATCAATACACGGGCGCAAACCCCCGTCCTTCTTCTTCACAAAGAAGAAACTCGAGGAAACCGGGGAAGTGGAGGACCGGATGTATCCCTGTGCCAAGGACTCGGCTATGTAAGTCTCCATAGCCACTGTCTCTTCTTGAGACAGGGGATACACACGGCTCCGCGGAAGTGCCGCTCCTGTTCGGAGATCTATCGCACAATCCCCCTGTCTATGAGGTGGTAGCCGTGTTGCCCTAGTTTTGCTGAACACAAGTGCTAAATCCTCATATTCAGGGGGAATGCGCATTGCGGGCACTTGGTTCGGACTCTCCACCGAAGTCGCCCCTAAGGAAACACCTAGACATTTCCCTACACACTGGGCAGACCACTCCATAATAATATAATAATAATAATATGCCATTTAGCAGACGCTTTTATCCAAAGCGACTTACAGTCATGCGTGCATACATTTGTGTATGGGTGGTCCCAGGGTTCGAACCCACTACCTTGGCGTTACAAGCGCCGTGCTCTACCAGCTGAGCTGCCACGAAATGGTAGGATCATGGGCGCTTAACCAGGGAAGCCCCAGCACCACGGGATATGCAGGAGAGTCGATCAGATAAAACTGAATGATCTCCTCATGACCCCCCTGTGTCGTCATCTTAAGTGGTGCTGTGACTTCTCTGATCAACCCCGACCCCAGCGGCCGGCTCTCTAGGGCATGAACAGGAAAAGGGACTTCTACCGGCCGAAGGGGAATTCCTAGCCTATAACAAAATTCACGATCAACAAAATTCCCAGCTGCGCCTGAATCTACTAGCGCCTTATGCTGGGAATGAGGTGCCACCTGTGGAAATCTCACAGGTATACTCATGTGACCAACAGAGAGCTCTGGGTAAGTGGGGCGCCTACTCACCTGAAATGACTCCCCGGTGCGTGACCTGTTGTCCCCTCTCCCAGGAGACCCTCCCCAGCACCTAGCCGCAGTGTGTCCTCCACGGCCACAGTTGGTGCAGGGGACGGCCCCCCTCGGGTTCTCTCTCCTCCTCTCCCTAGCGCCAGCACCCCCGAGCTCCATGGGAATCGGCTCGGAGGTGCTGGAGGGTGGAATGGACGACCCCCACTCGGGACGTCCGCGGGTAGCCAGCAGGGTGTCGAGACGGATGGAAATGTCCACCAACTGGTCGAAGGCTAGGTTGGTGTCCCTGCAGTCCAGCTCACGACGAACGTCCTCTCGTAGGCTACACCGGTAATGGTCGATGAGGGCCCTCTCATTCCACCCCGCATCCGCCGCTAGAGTCCGGAACTCCAGGGCGAACTCCTGTGCACTCCTCTTCCCCTGTCGGAGGTGGAACAGACGCTCCCCCGCCGCCTTCCCCTCAGGTGGATGATCGAACACAGCCCTGAAGCGGCGGGAGAACTCCGCGTAGGTGATGGTAGCGGCTTCTATTCCCCTCCATTCAGCGTTGGCCCACTCCAACGCCTTGCTGGATAGACAGGAGATGAGGGCGGAGACGCTCTCGTATCCCGAGGGCACCGGGTGTATGGTGGCCAGGTATAGTTCCACCTGCAGGAGGAACCCCTGACACCCGGCTGCAGAACCATCATATGCCCTCGGGAGCGAGAGCCGAATGCCACTGGGTTCCGGTGCTGGGAGAGGAGGACTGGCCGATGGTGATGGTAAGGTGTGCGAAGGCGTGGGCACCTCTCCCGTAACCAACCTCTCCCGTAACCAAGTTGCCGGATCATGGTGTCTTGGTCGCTGATCCGATCCTCCAGCGACTTGGGTGCCGCCTCTGCTCCTGCTTACTCCATAATGGTGTGTTGTTCTGTCAAGGGCTGAGGTAAGTGTGGTGTGGAAGTCAGGCGCAGGACACCGAAGCTTAGTCCAACAAAGTTTACTAGTTAACCACTAGGCAAACATACAATAAACGACCTCAAAAACACACAGAGGCGAGCGATTACGCAAACTGTGCGTAAACTCCAAAACAACAAACAGAGCAAACACGCAGCACTAGCTGACATGCGAAAAACAACACACAACCTAACCAATACAAAACAGGCAACTTATAGAACACATAATCAGACACAAACGGACACAGGTGCAATAGACAGACAAAAGCAATCAAACATAGAAACATTCAACGGTGGCAGCTAGTACTCCGGGGACGACGAACGCCGAAGCCTGCCCGAACAAGGAGGAGGAGCAGCCTCGGCAGAATCCGTGACACATTCCATGTAATGCCCGCCACCCTCATATGACATATGACATGCACCTCAATGTTCAAAGAAGTACTTTGCTTTATGTTTTTTGTGTGTTTTCTGTTAAAAGTTTGCTCAGCCCACATGCTCTATATATGTAATGTAGATAATAACTATGTATTCATACTATGACTCTCCCATTCCATGAAATGCCCGCCACCCTCATATGACATGTCTGCTAAAATGTTTTATCTGGTTCTTCAATGATAGACAAAAATTGAACAGTTTTAAGCTCCAACTCCTCTCCTGATGTAACAAAAGTATGTGGATTATGTCATTATACGTACATTAGAGAAAGACTGCCAATTAAGTATTGTGGTCAGTTTGTATTACCTTGTAAATTAAATTAAAATATAGTGGCTGGTGGGGTTCTACTTGGGGAGAGTGGGTCCACCGAGAGACTGAAGTGAGATGAGTGGAGGCTCAGATGAGTGGAGGCTCAGAGAAGTGTCACCCCGTCCCGATCTATAGGATAGAGCCCCTCTCTACTCTCACCAATAACCACCATTGAATCTTAGCTATAATGACAAACAAGGAATAATAATGACTCGATATCCTCTCCTAATCTGTCCAGAACTCTTATTCATTTTACAGCAGGTTTGCAAGTAACAAAAATAAATACAATTACATTGTAGTATAGTTAAATGCTTCTTTCTCTCTCTCCCAAGCCAAACCCATCCATCCCTCTCCACCTCCACCTCCGCCTCCCTGTTTTACCCCACCCAAGCCAAGCTTGTCCCTGCCTCCCATCCTTGCCCACCCTTGCCCACCCTTGCCCACCCTTGCCAAGCTTGTCCCAACCTCCCATCTTTTCCCAAATCAAATCAAATCAAAGTGTATTGGTCACATACACACATATTTAGCAGATGTTATTGCTGCTGTAGCGAAAGGCTTGTGTTCCTAGCTCCAACAGTGCAGTAGTATCTAACAATTCACAACAATACACACAAATCTAAAAGTAAAAGAAAGGAATTAAGAAATATACAAATATTAGGATGAGCAATATCGGAGTGGCATTGACTAAAATATAGTAGAATACAGTATATACAGTGCATTTGGAAAGTATTCAGACCACTTCCCTTTTTCCACATTTTTCAATGTTACAGCCTTATTCTAAAAATGATTAAATTCACTTTTTTCCTCATCACTCTACATACAACACCCCTTAATGACAAAGCAAAAACAGGTTTTTAGAAATGTTTGCAAATGTATTAAAAATTAAAAACAGAAATATCTTATTTACATAAGTATTCAGACCCTTTGCCATGAGACTTGAAATTGAGCTCAGGCGCATCCTGTTTCCATTGATCATCCTTGAGATGTTTCTACAAATTGATTTGGAAAGGCACACACCTGTCCATATAAGGTCCCACAGTTGAAGTGCATTTCAGAGCAAAACCCAAGCCATGAGGTCGAAGGAATTGTCCGTATGGCTCCAAGACAGGATTGTGTCGAGGAACAGATCTGGGGAAGGGTACCAAAACATTTCTGCAGCATTGAAAGTCCCCAAGAACACATTCTTAAAAAGATTAAGTTTGGAACCACCAATACTCTTCCTAGAGCTGGCCGCCCGGCAAAACTGTGTATTTGGGGGAGAAGGGCCATGGCCAGGGAGGTGACAAAGAACCAGATGGTCACTCTGACAGAGCTCCAGAGTTCCTCTGTGGAGATAGGAGAACCTTCCAGAAGGACAAACTTCTCTGCAGTACTCCACCAATCAGGCCTTTGTGGTAGAGTGGCCAGACGGAAGCCACTCCTCAGTAAAAAGGCACTTAAAGGACTCTCAGACCATGAGAAACAAGATTCTCTGGTCTGATGAAACCAAGATTGAACTCTTTGGCCTGAATGCCAAGCGTCATGTCTGGAGGAAACCTGGCACCATCCTTTTGGTGAAGCATGATCGTGGCAGCATCATGCCGTGGGGATGTTTTTCAGTGGCATGGACTGGGAGACTAGTCAGGATCGAGGGAAAGATGAACGGAGCAAAGTATAGAGAGATCCTTGATGAAAACCTGCTCCAGAGCGCTCAGGACCTCAGACTGGGGCGACGGTTAACATTCCAACATGACAACGACCCCAAAAAACCCACCCAAGACAGCAAGTCTCTGAATGTCCTTGCGTGGCCCAGCCAGAGCCCGGATTTGAACCTGATCTAACACCTCTGGAGAGACCTGAAAATAGCTGTGCAGCGACGCTCCCCATCCAACCTGACAGATCTTGAGAGGATCTGCAGAGAAGAATGGGAGAAACTCCCCAAATACAGGTGTGCCAAGCTTGTAGCTTCATACCCAAGAAGACTCGAGGCTGTAATTGCTACCAAAGGTGCTTCAACAAAGTACTGAGTAAAGGGTCTGAATACTTATGTAAATTTGATATTTCAATATTCTTTTTATATATATATGTATTTTCAAAAATGTCTAAAAACCTGTTTTTGCTCTGTCATTATGGGGTATTGTGTGTGGATTGTTGAGGAACAAATACAATTTAATCCATTTTAGAATAAGGCTGTAACATAACAAAATGTGGAAAAAGTAAAGGGGTCTGAATACTTTCTGAATGCACTGTAAAGTAGAATGTAAACATTATAGCAGTATGTAAACATTATAAGTGACTAGTGATTCCATGTCTATGTGCAGGGTTGTGTAACCAAGTGGTAGCTGGCTAGTGATGGCTATTTAACAGTCTGATGGCCTTGAGATAGAAGCTGTTTTTCAGTCTCTCGGTCCCAGCTTTGATGCACCTGTACTGTCCTCGCCTTCTGGATGATAGCGGGGTGAACAGGCTGTGGCTCAGGTGGTTATTGTCCTTGATGATCTTTTTGGCCTTCCTGTGACTTCAGGTGCTCTAGGTGTCCTGGAGGGCAGGCAGTGTGCCCCCGGTGATGCGTTGGGCAGACCACACCACCCTCTGGAGAGCCCTGCTGTTGCGGGAGGAACAGTTACCGTACCAGGCGGTGATACAGCTCGACAGGATGCTCTTATTTGTGCATTTGTAAAAGTTTAGGGGCAAGCCAAATTTCTTCAGCCTCCTGAGGTTGAAGAGGCGATGTTGCGCCTTCTTCACCACACTGTCTGTGTGGGTGGACCATTTCAGATGGTCAGTGATGTGTACGCAGAGAAATTGAAGCTTTTCACCTTCTCCACAGCGGTCCCGTCGATGTGGACAGGGGCGTGTTCCTTCTGCTGTCTCCTGAAGTCCACGATCAGCTCCTTTGTTTTTTCTTTACGTTGAGTGAGAGGTTATTTTCCTGGCACCACACTCCCAGAGCCCTCACCTCTTCTCTGTAGGCTGTCTCGTCACTGTTAATCAGGCCTACTACTGTTGCGTCGTCTGCAAACTTGATGATTGAGTTGAAGGCGTGCGTGGCCACGCGATCATGGGTGAACAGGGAGTACAGGAGGGGGCTGAGCATGCACCCTTTTGGGGCCCCTGTGTTGAAGATCAGCGTAGTGGAGGTGTTGTTTCCTATCTTCACCACCTGGGGGCAGCCCGTCAGGAAGTCCAGGACCCAGTTGCACAGGGCGGGGTTCAGACCCAGGGCACCCAGATTAATGATGAGCTTGGAGGGTACTATGGTGTTGAAGGCTGATCTATAGTCAGTGAACAGCATTCTTACATACGTATTCCTCTTGTCTAGATGGGATAGGGCGGTGTGCAGTGCGATGGCGATTGCATCGTCTGTGGATCTATTGGGGCGGTATGCAAATGTAAGTGGGTCTAGGGTGTCAGGTAAGTTGGAGGTGATATGATCCTTGACTAGCCTTTCAAAGCACTTCATGATAACAGAAGTGATTGTTACGGGGTGATAGTCATTTAGTTCAGTTACCTTTGTTGTCTTGGGTACAGGAACAATGGTGGACATCTTGAAGCAAGTGGGGACAGCAGACTTTGATAGGGAGAGATTGAATATGTCCGCAAACACTCCAGTCAGCTGGTCTGCGCATGGTCTGAGGACGCGGCCAAGGATGCCGGCAGACTTGTGAGGATTAACACGATTAAATGTCTTACTCACGTCAGCCACGGAGAACGAGAGCCCACAGTCCTTTGGAGCGGGCACTGTGTTATCCTCAAAGAAGGTGTTTAGCTTGTCCGGGAGCAAGACATCAGTGTCTGCGACGTAGCTGGCTTTCCCTTTGTATTCCGTGACTGTCTGTAGACCCTGCCACATACACTACTAGTCAAATGTTTGGACACACCTACTCATTCAAGCGTTTTTCTTTCTTTCTTTTTTAAAATGTTCTACATTGTAGAATAATAGTGAAGACATCAACACTATGAAATAACACATTTGGAATAATTTAGTAACCAAAAAAGTGTTAAACAAATCAAAATATATTTTATATTTGAGATTCTTCAAATAGCCACCCTTTGCATTGATGACAGCTTTGCACACTCTTGGCATTCTCTCAACCAGCTTCATGAGGTAGTCACCTGGGGCCAAGCTTCCTGCCATCCAGGACCTCTATACCAGGCAGTGTCAGAGGAAGGCCCTAAAAATTGTCAAAGACTCCAGCCACCCTAGTCATAGGCTGTTCTGTCTGCTACCGCACGGCAAGCGGTACCGGTGCGCCAAGTCTAGGTCCAAGAGGCTTCTAAACAGCTTCTACCCCCAAGCCATAAGGCTCCTGAACATCTAATCAAATGGCTACCCAAACTATTTGCATTGCCCCCCACCACCCTCTTTTACGCTGCTGCTACTCTCTGTTTATTATCTATCTTTAATAACTCTACCTACATGTACATATTACCTCAAGTTCTTCGACTAACCGGTGCCCACGCACATTGACTCGTTACCGGTACCCCCTGTATATAGCCTCGCTATTGTTATTTTACTGCTGCTCTTTAATTATTTGTTACTTTTATTTCGTATTATTTTATATTGTATTTCTTGTGTGATTTTTTTTTGGTATTCTTTCTTAAAACTGCATTGTTGGTTAAGGGCTTGTAAGTAAGCATTTCACTGTAAGGTCTACACCTGTTGTATTCGGCGCATGTGACAAATAACATTTGATTTGATTTGAATTAACAGGTTCTTAAAAGTTAATTTTTGGAATTTATTTCCTTCTTAATGCGTTTGAGCCAATCAGTTGTGTTGTGACAAGGTAGGGGGGGTATACAGAAGATAGCCCTATTTAGTAAAAGACCAAGTCCATATTATGACAAGAACAGCTCAAATAAGCAAAGAGAAATGACAGTCCATCATTACTTTAAGACATGAAGGTCAGTCAATATGGAACATTTCAAGAACTTTTAAAGTTTATTCAAGTGCAGTCGCAAAAACGATCAAGCACTATGATGAAACTGGCTCTCATGAGGACCGCCACAGGAATGGAAGAACCAGAGTTACCTCTGCTGCAGAGGATAAGTTCATTAGAGTTACCAGCCTCAGAAATTGCAGCCCAAATAATTCCTTCACAGAGTTCAAGTAACAGACACATCTCAACATCACCTGTTCAGAGGGGACTGTGTGAATCAGGCCTTCATGGTCGAATTGCTGCAAAGAAACCACTACTGAAGGACACCAATAAGAAGAAGAGACCTGCTTGGGCCAAGAAACACGAGCAATGGATATTAGACCAGTGGAAATTTGATATTTGGTCTGGAGTCCAAATTGGAGATTTTTGGTTCAAACAGTCATGTCTTTGTGAGACGCGTGAGGGTGAACGGATGATCTCCGCATGTGTAGTTCCCACCGTAAAGAATGGAGGAGTAGGTGTTATGGTGTGGGGGTGCTTTGCTGGTGACACTGTCTGTGATTTATTTAGAATTCAAGGCACACTTAACCAGCATGGCTACCACAGCATTCTGCAGCGATACGCCGTCCCATCTGGTTTGGGCTTAGTGGGACTATCATTTGTTTTTCAACAGGACAATGACACAACACACGTCCAGGCTGTGTAAGGGCTATTTTACCAAGAAGGAGAGTGATGGAGTGGTGCATCAGATGACCTGGCCTCCACAATCCCCCGACCTCAACCCAATTGAGATGGCTTGGGATGAATCGGACGGCGGAGTGAAGGAAAAGCAGCCAACAAGTGCTCAGCATATGTGGGAACTCCTTCAAGACTGTTGGAAAAGCATTCCAGATGAAGCTGGTTGAGAGAATGCCAAGAGTGTGCAAAGCTGTCATCAAGGCAAAGGGTGGCTATTTGGAGAATCTCAAATATAAAATATATTTTGATTTGTTTAACACTTTTTTGGTTACTACATGATTCCATATGTGTTATTTCATAGTTTTGATGTCTTCACTATTATTCTACAATATAAGAAATCATAGTAAAAATAAAGAAAAATCCATGAATGAGTAGGTGTGTCCAAACTTTTTACTGGTACTCTACGTCTCGTGTCTCAGCCGTTGAATTGCGACTCCACTTTGTCGCTGTTCGGACATTTTGCCTGTTTGATTGCCTTACGGAGGGAATAACTACACTGTTTGTATTCCACCATATTCCCAGTCACCTTGCCGTGGTTAAATGCGGTGGTTCGCGCTTTCAGTTTTGCGTGAATGCTGCCTTCTGTCCACGGTTTTTGGTTTCAGTAGGTTTTAATAGTCACATTTAAACCTACCCAAAAAACCTACCCATCTTTTCCCACCCTTCCTACCTCTCTGACACACTTACACCCATCCATCCATCGACTTACTCTTCCGTCCTCATTCATTCCCGCCCAACATATACCCTATGGATCCATCCACCCATTCTCTCCCACCCTCTGACACATATTCATATTCACCATCCCTCACTCTTCCCTCACACTCTTATTCATATATACACACACACACACACACACACACACACACACACACACACACACACACTCCCACACACACACGCAAACGCACATAGATCCGTTTTTGACATACAGTACATGCCATATTTCCCCCTTTGAATTGTCTTTTCAGTGTCCATGTAGCCCATTGGCATCAGCTACTTCTATCTTTACTTTGTAGAGAAGAGCAGTTACTTATGGAAAGTAGAGTATAGATTATATTGCGGGAGGTGGAAAGGATATTGTCTCAATTTACGATAACATTTGATTTAAGCTGGGTTTAGGCATCACTGTATGTAGCCTATTGTAGCCATTGTTATTTCCTACTTTGTCCTCTTCTCATAGCAGGCAGGGGGCTCTCCTCCTTCAACTGGGAAGGTTTCTGAGAAGGTTTCTTGTAGCTTGATTAGGGCTTCATCTGCGCTTGTGAATTCCATCCTTTGCGTTACCTTCCTTCACGACGATCCTATGGCATCGTTCCAGACTTCTACATTCAGTAGATCAGATATCTGGGTCTTGGTGCCTTGTACACCCTGACCTTGTTTCTCCTGTTCACTGGTTAGTTGGGCATCTAGGTTTCTACATTTTACAGACTGCAGGTAGCCTAGCGGTTAAGAGCGTTGGGCTAGTAACTGAAAGGTCTCTGGGTCAAATCTGTCGATGGCCCTCTGAATAAGAGTGTTTGTTAAATGTTATGGTGACATATAATAGTTTTGTGTGATCGACTGTGCTGGTGGGATTATTACACGCAAATGGTGCTACTGTATGGAAACATGAGTTCACACAGAGCTCTGCTCCTGTATAATGTACACATGTACAGTACATAATCATGTATGTAATATCTTATGTAGTACAGATTAAACTCAGTTCCTGTCCCCCCACCCCTCTCCCCCTTTCTCTTATATTCTGCTCTCTAACCCCTCATAGTCAATTTACACACAACTCTGACACACACACTTACCCCACCAGACATGCCACGAGGGGTCTTTTCACAGTCCCCAAATCCAGAACAAAGACCTGCCCTGCTGTGTGTCTCCAGGGTGAATAGAGGACTATGTGTGGAGTGTGTGAGTTGTAACCGCTTTGACCATCTCCTGTCATATTACAAAACCCTGCCATGCAACTCATTATGTCTCTATGTGACAGTTCATAGCCTGGGAGAGAGAGAGAGAGAGACAAGATTTGTGAGTGTGTGTGTGTCCCTGTGTGTGTCCTGGCATAATCCTGCAGAGGTCTAGAGCAGTCATTTTAGGCTCTAGGAAGTGATGCTCACAAAGAGAAAGAGAGAGTGTCCCATTGTGTAGTTCCCTTTAAGTTCCCTTTAAGTTACCAGGACTTCATTGAGGACCATGTTAAGACATTTGGAAGATGTAGTCAGGACATCACGTGATGGTCCCCAGGGGGTTTTAAGGTAAGTGGGATGCTGTTCTGCTAAAATAGTGTAACAAATTTTTTTAATCAATGACAATATGATTAGATTTGACATGATCACTTAGTACTGACTTTTCAAATAGACCTCACCTGGGTTTTGAACTCACAACTTCTGCGTTTGGGAAACACTGCTCGTTCTGCTGCACCACGAAGTCTGCAGCATTCTCATAAGTCCCCTGCACATTCATTACCTATAATACATCTCTGCACTTAGCAAAATAGTGCCATGTACACTGCTATTTAAGTTATCAGTTAATCTGACTAATTTCTCATCATTGATTTAATTAACTTATCTCAGCAATTTGAGGGTTTTCTAGTACAGTTGTCTAATGTTGGTGGAGCATATTATTGGGCCTTTTATAAACGCATTTCATGCAATTCTATGTAATTTTACACGACTGGAAACTTTAGCAGGATATTTTTTAATACCGCACAGGTTCTTGAAATGTCAGGCTACTTTGACACTGACAAACTGAGAATGAGAGATCATTAAAAATGACCTCATCTTGAATCCATCAATAGCCTAGGCCTAGGTGTGTGGAGGAGACACACATATTGTACAATATGAGGAGGAAATTATAGTCCTTAAAAAGCTTTCCAGTTTCACTGACCGATGAGCTCGTGCCAAAAGCCTATCTCTCTCGTTTTAGTTTGTAAAAACAATGCTGTTCGCTCAATAGGCCTAGTTACAGCCAGATAACAATTTTTGTTTCAGCAGGAGCCATTTACTTTCCAACCTGTGCTATCCCATGATTGTATTTTAAATATTGTGAAAGGCCTGTTTTCGCTGCATGCTGTTCACTGACAGATTTGCCACAAGTTCCTGACTGTAGGCAATGCCTTGTGATTGGGCTACACACAATCCACAGATAGGCTATTGAAAAAAAAATAAAGCTATTGATCCTCTGGCTAAATTATAGGCCTACTCCTGGTGTAGTATTCTGAAATAATTTAATTTATTTCTGAACAGATGGCATTAATTCTATAAATGTGGCAAATGTATTTCAATTTATCAGGGGTGCTGCAGCACCACCAGCACCCTTCCCATGGCTATGATTCTATAAGGAAATAAATGATGATTGTTGCAGGCTCATGTCTATCAGAGCAGAGAGAGGGAAGGAGATCATAGAAAGTTAATCTGATTCTGATTCTGTGAGAGATAGGCTACAGTCATGCTTCTCTCTCGCACCACAGCAACTGCCACTAGTCTCTAGGCTACAATGTTGCGCAAATCATAAACCCGGGCTGGCCCAACCCGAATAAATTCTTAGAATATCAGGCACTGGTTGAAAATCTATGTTTTCACATTACATTAGGCATAACATTTTTAGGGAGCAGGAAAATTATGTTTCATGCCACAAGAGGTACCGGATCCTGGCAAATAGGTTCCGGAACTAAACAGTCCAAAACAGAGAGGTGCCACGGCTCAAATTAAGCACGGGTATATTTATAACAGAGCTGAGATTGACTTTGAAGTACAAAGTGTAGGAATACAGGTGAATTCAGTCAATAGGCAGGTTTCCATTGACCCAGGTTAATTAGATAAAAGCAATGTCGCAAAAACAAATCATTGCGATGTGCAATGGAAATGGCAGATATAGGAGAAATGTTCTAAAGATCGACAACATTTTGATCAGTTTCCCAGGAGTGGATTTTTCTTTCGTCAAACTTTCTTTATTGCAACAAATAAGGGATGGAAACAGTTTTTCGAATAAATTATGATTGCCAAATAATTTTGAAGGTACACGGGGCATGTGGTTAGGGTGACCACATGTCCCGGATTGTGCAGGACAGTCCCGCATTTTGGTCCTTTGTCCTGCATCCTGCAACCAAACAATTATGTCCTGCATTTTATCAACACAATCAAATTTAGAACAAAAGGTTGATTTGTCCCGTATTTCAGTGAGACGTTCCAACCTGTCTCTTGCAGTCACGTTGGCTTATGAAATATTAATGATGAGGATGTGGTAGCCTAAGCCTAATGGTGATGATTAAACACTTCTCCAATCGTTGTTGAGATCTGATATTCTGCGCAGCGCAAGATGAGACAGTAGGCCAATGTCATAAGCCTATCGTCAACCAATCATATTTCTCAAATCCTTTCGGGCTAAATTCCAGCTAAACTTGGAGAGGACAGTTAGATTCTGTGCTTCCAACTTTGTGGCAACAGTTTGGGGAAGGCCCTTTCCTGTTTCAGCAAAGCGAGGTCCATACATAAATGGTTTGTCGAGATCGGTGTGGCCACTGCGAGCCAGGCCTAATCGCCCAACATCAGTGCCCAACATCACTAATGCTCTTGTGGCTGAATGGAAGCAAGTCCCCGCAGCAATGTTCCAACATTTAGTGTAAAGCCTTCCCAGAAGAGTGGAGGCTGTTATAGCAGCAAACGGGGGACCAACTCCATGTGTCCATATACGTTTGGTCATGTAGTGTACTTACAAAAAAGCGTGCTTCTGATGAATAACTACAAAATTAAGTAAATAGCCTTATTAGACTTAAAGATATAAGGTAATTTCATCAAAATTGTGAGGCTCTCCATGCTTATTAGTTGCTCATTTAATATATTTGCTGCTACTTCACTCAATCCCATGTTAAACGTCTCCCATCCAAACTGATTTACATTCCCTGAAACCTACCAGAAATGTTTCCTTGGACAAATATTCCCAGATTTTCATAAAACACATTATCTAATTTATCATTATCTAATTTCTATCACCAAATTTTGCATAAGGCAAAAGAGTTAGCTACACTTCAATTGCTCGTTCGGTGCAGCGGTGTCACGTTCGTTCATGAACGGGTCAGACCAAGGCGCAGCGTGATATGCATACATGTTTATTTGACTTATAAACCCAACGACAAAACAAGAAACGAAACGTGAAGTCCAAGGTACACAAACAACATACCTAACACGGAACAAGATCCCACAACCCACTAGTGCCAATAGGCTGCCTAAGTATGGTCCCCAATCAGAGACAACGAGCGACAGCTGCCTCTGATTGGGAACCACACTGGCCAACATAGATCTAGACGTACTAGATCTAAACCTAGAAAATACAACATAGAACATAGAAAGTCACACCCTGACTCAACAAATAAGAGTCCCCAGAGTCAGGGCGTGACAAGCGGACTGCAGGGTGTAGTGCTTCCAGAGCACACCAGAGCGTCGCTCCGCCACTTCTCAGAATGGTGCTCATAGAGTTGATCAGGCATATTGGCGGGAACTGGAACACGCTGTTGTATGTGTCGATCCAGAGCATCCCAAACATGCTAAATAGGTGACATGTCTGATGAGTATGCAGGCCATGAAAGAACTGGGGCATTTTCAGCTTCCAGGAATTGTGTACAGATCCTTGCGACATGAGGTTATGGCGGCGGATGAATGGCACGACAATGGGCCTCAGGATCTCATCACGGTATCTCTATGCATTCCGTAGCTTATGCCTGCCCATACCATAATCCCACCGCCACCATGGGGCATTCTGTTCACAACATTGACATCAGCAAACAGCTCACCCACACACCGCCAAACACTCTGTCTGTCATCTACGTGGTACAGTTGAAACCGGGATTCGTCCGTGAAGAGCACACTTCTCCAGCATGCCAGTGGCAATCGAAGGTGAGCATTTGCCCACTGAAGTCGATTACGACGCCGAACTGCAGTCAGGTCAAGCACGCAAATTAGCTTCCCTGAGATGGTTTCTGACAGTTTGTGCTGAAATTCTTCAGTTGTGCAAACCCACAGTTTCATCAGCTGTCCGGGTGGCTGGTCTAAGACAATCCCACAGGTGAAGAAGCCGGATGTGGAGGTCCTGGGCTGGCGTGGTCTGCGGTTGTGAGGCCAGTTGGATGTACTGCCAAATTCTCTTAAATGACAATGGAGGCGGCTTATGGTAGAGAAATAACATTCAGTTTTCTGGCAACAGCTCTGGTGGACATTCCTGCAGTCAGCATGCCAATCGCACACTTCTTCGAAACTTGAGACATCTGTGGCTGGCATTGTGTTGCACATTTTAGATTGGCCTTTTATTGTCCCAAGCACAAGGTGCACCTGTGTAATGATCATGCTGTTTAATCAGCTTCTTGATATGCCACACCTGTCAGGTGGAAGGAGAAATGCTCACTAACAGCGACGTAAACAAATTTGTGCACACAATTTGAGAGAAATAAGCTTTTTGTGTGTGTGGAAAATTTCTGGGATTTTGAAACATGGGACCAACAATTTACATGTAGCGTTTATGTTTTTGTTCAGTATATTTTAAGTCACAAAAAATTGAATAAAAAACATTCAAGCATTGTTTGTCCCCCCTCAACAAAGAAAATGGAAGACATTTGGTTGCATATAAAAAACAAACCCAGGAGTGATGTCTTCTAATCTAACCAGGTCCTCTTTCTCAGGTCTCTCCTCTGTGGCAATGTTGTCTGGAAGATTAAGCTTGGGCAGGTGGGATGAAGGATCCCTGTAAACCACAGTTGGATCCTGTCGCCGCTCCAGCACCTGGTTATTCTTTTGGCAACCCCCTGCTTGGACTGTTTCGGGAACTGTTTCTCACCTACACAATTAATACAGAGTTCTGTTAGACATGTTTACATGGTACACACAAACACACTTATTCTAAATGATAATTTTTGTGTTTCACAAAATACAGGTAGCTTCTGTTGTAACAGAAAATATGGTACTTTATATTATGCTAGACAATGTCTTCAAAGTGTGATTTTACATTCGTGATACATTTTATAATAAAAAGACAGATATAAAGTCAATTGGGTTTATCCATTCGTTCAAGTTCTTAAAGTATCAGTGTCAGTTGTAGGTTGTTCCCTGCGCACATTTTCATTGTTATGTGCTTTATTATTATTATTATTATTATTATTATTATTATTATTATTATTATTATTATTATTATTATTATTATTATTATTATTATTATGTGTATTGACAAAGAAAAACTTCCACCCTAACACACAAGTCAAGTGATACCATGTTTGCTAACCTAAGACACGTTTTGTCTTTTCACAGTGTGTTATCACATCAGGTGCTATGTCATTTTCATAGGATCGTTATGTAGGCTTTATGTCAGCTCATATAGTCTGCTCACAGTCGTAGACCCAAAGCTGTATACAGAATGCCTGCTGAGAAGGCAATGTTTAACGGTTTCACATATATCAGTGTTCACAGCGCGGCTTTAACAGAGATAGAATCGACCCTCACAGCCCGTTGTTTACGAGTGTGAGTGTGTGTGTGTGTGTGTGTGTGTGTGTGTGTGTGTGTGTGTGTGTGTGTGTGTGTGTGTGTGTGTGTGTGTGTGTGTGTGTGTGTGTGTGTGTGTGTGTGTGTGTGTAGGTGTGTTTAGGTGTTATAACAGCGATAGGATTGACCACACATTATTTACCTCTGGGTGTGGAGAATGTTTACTTGATAGGTTAAGGAGAAAGAGAGAGTGTGTGTCTGTGTGCGAGTGTTTGTGTGTGTGCTCACCTGAATAGTGTACAGTATTATTATGTAGAGCTAACATATTCTCTCTCCTCCACTCCCTCTCCTTCTCCCCCCACTCCTCCCCCTTTAGGCTGAGGGTTCCACGTTTCTCCAGATGGGTGCCTCCCTGGAGCAGCAGATCGTCTGCATGTTCAAGGTACAATAATATAATATTTGAAAGTTAATGTTCGCTTATAAAACCCCCTTTCAGCCAATCAGAATTTAGTATTCAGCAAAGCTGTGGTCTAAAATGTAATGTCAGTATATTATTTTATATTTATGGGTTGTTCCACGATTACATTTTGCATCCCTTTGATATTTCAAGTAGAAATTGTGCACCAATATTGCCTGTTATATTAAATGAAGTGCCCTTCAGATTATTATTATGAATAAAGGCTTGATAAAGCAGGGTTTCCCAAACTTGGTCCTAGGGCCCCCCCTCAGTGCACATTTTGGTTTTTGCCCTAGCACTACACAGCTGATTCAAACCTACTCATCATCAAGCTTTGATTATTTGAATCAGCTGTGTAGTGCTAGGACAAAAAAACTAATGTGCACCCAGGCGTGGCCCCAGGACCGAGTTTGGGAAACCCTGCTCTAAAGTGCCTAAATTCAGCATTTTGATATGTCCCTTGTCATGTTTCTCCGACTTCTATGAAGATTTTAACCCACTTCTCCAAGTTTTCACCATCATTTTAAAGCCCTAGTGATTTTTTAGCTTTGACAAAGTAATTTCTGAAGATTATTATTTATTTATGTTATTAGTGATCAATTAACATCTGTCCCTCATTTTATGGTCAAATCTATTATGTGGAACTCTCGTTTCAATATGGTGAAACTATTCATTTTTAAGTTATTTTGTTCAAAAGAAACATTGTACATATAATAGTCAAATTATAGTGTAAAAGCAGGTGAGCTGGTTCTACTCTTTTTGGCCTTTTGTTTTGTGGTGGAAAACTGAGCGCGTCCAGCACAACACGTCACCTCTATTACCCATAGATAGATAGGCTAGAAATGTTTGAACAATTTCATTTTTCTGTGAAGCTTGCCTTCAATTTCCCCTCCCTGTTGCACACAACAAGCTTCCATTCCCCCTGTCACAAGTGGATTTATTGCTGATTTAAGATCAAAACATCAACCCTGTCACGGTCAACTCTGTTACTTTATTTGGCACTTCATTGGCACTTACTATAATCCTTTTTTTGAGATGGGAAAAGGTGTTTTTTTAAATTAATTTGAACATGTGCTCTTTATGACATAATGTTAATTAGGTGAAATAAAAAGTTATTTTGGACCAAATTACACTACCTAAAATGTACTCTATTAGTGGAACGACCCTTATATGTAATATGTTAAATCATGTCTATATTCTAGTTGATGGAGGAGTATGACTGGGGAGACTTTGTAGTCATCACCAGCATGTGGCCGGGATATGAGACGTTTGTAGACTACGTCCACTCCTACACGGACACTTCCTACTTCCTGTGGAGGCTACAGGATATCCTGTCTCTGGAGATGTCCGTCGGAACCAGTGACGTCCGAGCCAAACGCATGTTACAGCAGGTAGGAGAGAAAGTCTTTAAAAACGATATATATATATATATATAGAGAGAGAGAGAGAGAGAGAGAGAGAGAGAGAAGAGAGAGAGAGAGGAAGAGAGAGAGACGAGAGAGAGGAGAGAGAGAGAGAGAGATAGAGAGAGACATCCTATAGCAGTGGTCACCAACCTATAGTATATAGGACAAGTAGCTGTTCTTTAGGGTTAGGGTTTAACCTGGATGTGGACATGAAGCTAGGGTTAGGGTTGAAGCTAGGGTAATGGTTGAACCGGGATGTTGTCATGAAACTAGGGTTAGGGTTGTAGTTGAGGCCAGGGCTAGGGTTGAACCGGGATGTGGACATGAAGCTAGGGTTAGGGTTGTGGTTGAAACTAGGGTTAGGGTTGAACCGGGATGTGGACATTAAGCTAGAGTTAGGGTTAAGGTTACCGTTAGGTTTAGAGGTTAACGTTAGATAATACTTACAGTGTTATATCTGTCTGTCCCTCTAGATTGATTCCCAGGTGCTCCTGGCCTACTGTTCCTATGAAGAGGCCCAGTACCTGTTCCAGGTAGCAGGGGAGGTGGGTCTACTGGGGCCTGGGTACATCTGGATCCTCCCCTCCCTCGCGTTGGGCAACACAGAGAGCCCTCCACCTATCAGCTTCCCCATAGGACTGATTGGCGTCATCACTGACCACTGGAGGAAGAGCCTGAGGCAACGTGTCAGAGAGGGAGTGGCCATAGTGGCCAAAGGGGCGGATAGTTTCAGAAGGTATCAAGGGTTCCTTCCAGAGGGACACAGCGACTGTAACACACCAGTTACACACATCAACAACAACACACTGTTCAGGTGAGTGTGTGAAGCCACACACCTTCTCGTCCTGTGTGTGTGTGCTTGTCGTATAAGTAGACATGTACTAAACAGGTGTGTGTGTGTGTGAGTGCCGATAACATACTGAATCTGTGTGTGTGTGTTGCAGACACATGCTAAACGTGACATGGGAGCGTAAGGACCTGTCGTTCAACAGTGATGGCTACCTGACCAACCCCTCCATGGCCATCGTCTCATTGGACAGAGACAGACTGTGGGACAAGGTACTGATTATGTGTGTGTTTGTGTGTGTAAGTGTGTGTGTGTGTGTGTGTGTGTGTGTGTGTGTGTGTGTGTGTGTGTGTGTCTGGACCATGTATGTGTGTGTGTGGTTTGGTTCTTCTATCCTTGTGTGTACCTAAAATCCCCCAAAGTCCCCACAAGGATAGTAAAACAAGAGAAATTCTCCCTCGTGGGGACATTTCCCACATCCCCATGAGGACAAAGGCTATTTTAAGCTTAGGGGTTAGGTTTAGGGTTAGGTTTACAATTAAGATTAGGGTTAGAATTAGTGTTAGGGTAAGGAGTTAGTGGTTAGGTTTAGGGGTAGGAATTAGATTTAGGGTTTGGATTATGGGTTAAGGTTAGGTTTAGGGTTAGGGGTTAGGGAAAATAGCATTTTGAATATAAATTAATTTTAGGTCCCTACGAGGATAGAGGAACATAACATTGTGTGTGGTTGGGTGTGTGTGTGTGTGTGTGCATATGTGTGCATGTGTGTGCATGTATGTGTGTGTGTACAGTCTGAAAACTCAAACACAAACAAAAAGTCTGGCTGCTGAGGTTTTGGCAATGCTCCGGATTTCCCTACAAAACACATTCATTCACAACCCCATGCTTCTATTTATTTCCTTTTCTTTTCTTTTCATATCTCTTCCCTTTAACCGTCTCACTCTCTCTGTAACACTCACTCTCACTCTTTCCTTAAAACCTCTCTCCCCCTCTCCTCAGCCCTCTCCCCTCCTTACCTCCAGTGTCATGTAGCTCATTCATTAGTGAAAAAGTGGTATAGTGCACTTACATGTGGGTTTGTGCACGTGACATGCCCTTTTCATCCCTTCTCTCTCTTTTTGACATACTGACAGCACTACACATCTCATTTTTTAAAACTAAGTCAGGGGGAACCGTCTCTCTGTCTTCCTCACTTCTTTCCTCCTAGACAGGGAGGGAGGGGTGATTGATTTCAATAACTGCCTGCGAAAGGTTTATAACAGTTAAAACAGCACTGAGATTCATAGTCAGACACAATAATGTGGGTTATTTACTTGCTAATGGGGCTTTAAATCGTGTTGTAGCTATTTTTTATGCCTATAAATCAACAGAACTAGAGTTAGAGTTAGAAAAATGTATTTAAGTGTCACTCCACAATGATACAATAATACAAAATACAGATTTTATTTCAACCACATTGTGGATCACTCAAATTGAGTTCTTCGACACTAAAAACAATCATGAACTAACATTGTACAGGCTTCGTCTATAATACATTACATCATCTATACACGTGTAGCCTATGCATAAACAAACAAAACACAATACAGTGGATAAAAGGACAAATAGGCACTTAAAAAGAAACGTCTCCATTGGAGGATAAGACGGCAGGCTTTGGCGCAGGCATTTACAGTGCCTTCAGAAAGTATTCATAACCTTTGACTTATTCCACATTTTGTTCTGTTACAGCCTGAATTCAAAATGGATTAAATATATATTTTTTCTCACCAATCTACACACAATACCCCATAATGACAAAGTGAAAACATGGTTTTAGACACGTTTGCTAATTTATTGAAAATGAAATACAGTGCGCTCCAAAAGTATTAGGACAGTGAAACCTTTTTTGTTTTGGCTCTGTACTGCAGCACTCTGGATTTGAAATTATACAATGACTTTGAGGTTAAAGTGCAGACTGTCAGCTTTAATTTGAGGGTATTTTCATCCATAGCGGGTGATTTTACTATTGGGACAAATTGAGACAAATGTACTTACACTGTATGTGTATTAACGTGGTCAAAAGTGTAGTATTTGGTCCCATATTCCTAGCACACAATGATTACATCAAGCTTGTGAATACACAAACTTATTGGATGCATTTGCTGTTTGTTTTGGTTGTGTTTCAGATTATTTTGTTCCCAATAGAAATGAATGGTAAATAATGTATTGTGTCATTTCGGAATAACTTTTATTGTAAATAAGAATAGAATATGTTTCAAAACACTTCTACATTCAGGTGGATGCTACCATGATTACGGATAATCCTGAATGAATCGTGAATAATGATGAGTGAGAAAGTTACAGAGGCATAAATATCAAACCCCCAAAAACAGCCTATAGGGAGGAGGTCAGAGACCTGGCAGTGTGGTGCCAGGACAACAACATCTCTCTCAATGTGAGCAAGCCAAAGGAGATGATCATGGACTACAGGAAAAGGAGGGCCGAACAGGCCCCCATTCACATCGACAGGGCTGTAGTGGAGCGGGTCGAGAGTTTCAAGCTCCTTGGTGTCCACATCACCAACAAACTATCATGGTCCAAACACACCAAGACAGTCGTAAAGAGGGCACGACAACACCTTTTCCCCCTCAGGAGACTGAAAATAAAAGATTTGGCATGGGTCCCAAGATCCTCAAAAAGTTCTACAGCTGCACCATCGAGAGCATCCTGACCGGTTGCATCACCGCCTGGTATGGCAACTGCTCGGCATCCGACCGTAAGGCGCTACAGAGGGTAGTGCGTACAGCCCAGTACATCACTGGGGCTAAGCTTCCTGCCATCCAGGACCTACAGTACCAGTCAAAAGATTGGACACACCTACTCATTCAAGGGTTTTTCTTTAGATTTTTTTTAAAAACTATTTTCTACATTGTAGAACAATAGTGAAGACATCAAAACCATGAAACAACACATATTGAATCATCTAGTAACCAAAAAAGTGTTACATCAAAATATTTTAGATGTTAGCCACCCTTTGCCTTTATGACAGCTTTGCACAGTCTTGGCATTCTCTCAACCAGCTTCATGAGAAATGCTTTTCCAACAGTCTTGAAGGAGTTCCCACATATGCTGAGCACTTTTCCTTCACTATGCGGTCCGACTCATCCCAAACCATCTCAATTCGGTTGGCTGCTTTTCCTTCCCTCTGAATCCCCATCTCAATTGGGTTGTGGTCGGGTGATTGTGGAGGCCATGTCATCTGATGCAGCACTCCATCAGTCTCCTTGATCAAATAGCAGTTACACAGTCTGGAGGTGTGTGTTGGGTCATTGTCCTGTTGAAAAACAAAATGACAGTCCCACTAAGCGCAAACCAGATGGGATGGCGTATGGCTGCAGAATGCTGTGGTAGCCATGTGGGTTAATTCTAAATAAATCACAGACAGTGTCACCAGCAAAACACCCCCACACCATCACACCTCCTCCTTCATGCTTCACGGTGGGAACCACACATGCGGAGATCACCTACTCTGCATCTCACAAAGGCACGGTGGATGTAACCAAAAATCTCAAATTTGGACTCATCAGACCAAAGGACAGATTTTCACCGGTCTAATCTCCATTGCTTGTGTTTCTTGGCCCAAGCAAGTCTCTTCTTATTATTGGTGTCCTTTAGTACATATTTATTTGCAGCAATTCGACCATGAAGGCCTGATTAACTCAGTCTCCACTGAACAGTTGATGTTGAGATATGTCTGTTACTTGAACTCTTTGAAGCATTTTTTTGGGTTGCAATCTGAGGTGCAGTTAACTCTAATACATTTATCCTCTACAGCATAGGTAACTCTGGGTCTTCCTTTCCTGTGGCGGTCCTCATGAGAGCCAGTTTCATTATAGCGCTTGATGGTTTTTGCGACTGCACTTGAAGAAACTTTTAAAGTTCTTGACATTTTCCGGACTGACTGACCTTCATGTCTTAAAGTAATGATGGACTGTCGTTTCTCTTTGCTTATTTGAGCTGTTCTTGCATATTATGGACTTGGTCTTTTACCAAATAGGGCAATCTTCTGTATACCACTCCTACCTTGTCACAACACAACTGATTGGCTCAAACATTTTAAGAAGGAAAGAAATTCCACAATTAACTTTTAAGAAGGCATACATGTTAATTGAAATGCATTCCAGGTGACTACCTCGTGAAGCTGGTTGAGAGAATGCCAAGAGTGTGCAAAGCTGTCATGAAGGCAAAGGGTGGCTACTTTGAAGAAGATCAAATATACAATATATTTTGATTTGTTTAACACTTTCTTGTTTACTACATGATTCCATATGTGTTATTTCATAGTTGTGATGTCGTCACTATTATTCTGCAATGTAGAAAATAGTAAAAATTAAGAAAAATCCTTGAATTAGTAGGTGTGTCCAATCTTTTGACTGGTACTGTATATGCGCGGCGGTGTCAGAGGAAGGCCCAAAGAATTGCCAAAGACTCCAGTCACCCAAGTCATAGACTGTTCTCTCTGCTACAGCACGGCAAGCGGTACCGGAGCGCCAAGTCTAGGTCCAAAAGGCTCCTTAACAGCTTCTACCCCCAAGCCATACGACTGTTTATGGCTTGGGGGTTACTTTTAATTTAATTTTTTACTTTAGTTTATTTAGTAAATATTTATTGAACTGCATTGTTGGTTAAGGGCTTGTAAGTAAACATTTCACGATAAGGTCTACACCTGTTATATTCGACGCATGTGAAAAATACAATTTGATTTGATTACAGCTGTGAGTTTTTCTGGGTAAGTCTCTAAGTGCTTTGCACACCTGTATTGTATTATATTTGCACATTATTCTTTTTGAAATTCTCCAAGTTGGTTGTTGATCATTGCTAGAATGACATTTTCAAGTCTTGCCATACATTTTCAAGCCGATGTAAGTCAAAACTGTAACTAGACCACTCAGGAACATTCAATATCGTCTTGGTAAGCAACTCCAGTGTATATTTGGCATTGTATTTTTGTAAGGACAGACACTGGGAGACGAGAAGCAAGTACAGGTAGCGAACATTTATTGAAAAAACCGACAGGAACAAAACACTGACAGCGTCTGGACAACGGAAAACGAAACAACATTAATGCAGACACCGGAATGAAACTGAGGAAGTGACAGGACAAGCCAGCTGAGGAGCGGGAACCTGTCGAGCCTGATGGGTCGGCCGAGGCATGGGAGCCTCACGAGCCGGCCGAGGAGCGGGAACCTGTCGAGCCTGATGGGTCGACTGAGGCGTGGGAGCCTGACGAGCCGGCTGAGGCGTGGGAGCCTGACGAGCCGGCTGAGGCGTGGGAGCCTGACCAGCCGGCTGAGGCGTGGGAGCCTGACCAGCCGGCTTAGGCGTGGGAGCCTGCCGAGTCAACTGAGGCAAGAAAGCTCTCGAGCCAGCGAAGGCTTGGAAGCCTGACGAGCCAGCTCAGGCATCCCTGGTTCCCTCGGCCTTGGCACCCGGACCCGACATCACCAACACAAAAAAAAAAAAAAAAACTCTCTGAACATTTCTTGAAGCTTATCTTCGCTTTCAGAGATCAATACAATGTCATCTGCATATAAAAGAACAGACACTATGATTTATGACTGGAGGGATGGAGTTGGAAGCTCCAGGGAAAGAAGGCTGGGTGACAAATGGAGCCCCAGTACGGTTAAGCGAGGACAGGTTCTTAACAGAGATCACTGGGTCCTCTAAAGCTCTGCTCAGGGTCAAAATCCACTGGATTACCTGGATCAGCCTCTCTCAGATCTACAGCCCTGAGTGTGTGTTTTATCCACTTTCATGTACTCTTCCTCCTACCACCCCCCCCCTCTCTCTCTCTCTCTCTCTCTCTCTCTCTCTCTCTCTCTCTCTCTCTCTCTCTCTCTCTCTCTCTCTCTCTCTCTCTCTCCTCCTGCCCCCTCCCCCTCCCCCAGGTGGGTACATTAGAGCGGGGTATCCTCCAGGTGCGTTACCCGGTGTGGCCTCGCTATGGCACTTTTCTCGAGACGGTATCAGATGACCGCCACCTGACGGTAGCCACTCTGGAGGAGAGGCCCTTCGTCATCGTAGAAAACGTGGACCCAGACACGGGCACCTGCGTACGCAACACCGTGCCTTGCCGACGCCAGTCCAACCGCACCGAGAGGTACGCATGACACACACACACCAACAACATGCAAATTGCAAATGTATACTGACAAAGCTGATGCTAGATATTGAGACCAGGATAAGTTTATATATTTAAACACAAAAACATACACACACATACACACACACTGTTAAGCTGTTGTCAGAGCACATAAAAAGCAGCTGTGTAATCCCTAAAGCTGTGTCAAACCATGTGCATGAACACACCTGGAATGAAACAGATAACTAACACGAGCCAACCACTACACAATCATAACACAACAATGACACACCGGGGGCCAACCATTTACACACATGTTACATACCTGCTGCATGTACTTAGACATTCACACGAGTCACACATCAAATATAGACCCAGTATATTAATGGTGGAGAGATGTGTGGGGAGAGTGGTTGAGTGCGATGGCACATTGATTGGCTGTAAAGAAGATGTATCTGCCAACGCTGGCATATAAACTCAGCAAAAAAAGAAACTCTCACTGTCAACTGTGTTTATTTTCAGTAAACTTAACATATTGTATGACCATAACAAGATTCAACAACTGAGACATAAACTGAACAAGTTCCACAGACATGTGACTAACAGAAATTGAATAATGTGTCCCTGAACAAAGGGGGGGTCAAAATCAAAAGTAACAGTCAGTATCTGGTGTGGCCACCAGCTGCATTAAGTACTGCAGTGCATCTCCTCCTCATGGACTGCACCAGATTTGCCAGTTCTTGCTGTGCGATGTTACCCCACTCTTCCACCAAGGCACCTGCAAGTTCCCAGACATTTTTGGGGGGAATGGCCCTAGCCCTCACCCTCCGATCCAACAAGTCCCAGACGTGCTCAATGGGATTGAGATCCGGGCTCTTCGCTGGCCATGGCAGAACACTGACATTCCTGTCTTGCAGAAAATCACGCACAGAACGAGCAGTATGGCTGGTGGTATTGTCATGCTGGTGGGTCATGTCAGGATGAGCCTGCAGGAAGAGTACCACATGAGGGAGGAGGATGTCTTGCGTTGAGATTGCCTGCAATGGTAACAAGCTCAGCCCGATGATGCTGTGACACACCGCCCCAGACCATGACGGACCCTCCACCTCCAAATTGATCCCGCTCCAGAGTACAGGCCTCTGTGTAACGCTCATTCCTTCGACGTTAAACGCGAATCCAACCATCACCCCTGGTGAGACAAAACCGCGACTCGTCTGTGAAGAGCACTTTTTGCCAGTCCTGTCTGGTCCAGCGACGGTGGGTTTGTGCCCATAGGCGACGTTGTTGCCGGTGATGTCTGGTGAGGACCTGTCTTACAACAGGCCTACAAGCCCTCAGTCCAGCCTCTCTCAGCCTATTGTGGACAGTTTCAGCACTGATGAAGGGATTGTGCGTTCCTGGTGTAACTCGGGCAGTTGTTGTTGCCATCCTGTACCTGTCCCGCAGGTGTGATATTCGGATGTACCGATCCTGTGCAGGTGTTGCTACACGTGGTCTGCCACTGTGAGGACGATCAGCTGTCCGTCCTGTCTCCCTGTAGCTCTGTCTTAGGCGTCTCACAGTACAGACATTGCAATTTATTGTCCTGGCCACATCTGCAGTCCTCATGTCTCCTCGCAGCATGCAAAAGGCACGTTCACGCAGATGAGCAGGGACCCTGGGCATCTTTCTTTTGGTCAGTAGAAAGGCCTCTTTAGTGTCCTAAGTTTTCATAACTGTGACCTTAATTGCCTACCGTCTGTAAGCTGTTAGTATCTTAACGACCGTTCCACAGGTGCATGTTCATTAATTGTTTATGGTTCATTGAACAAGCATGGGAAACCGTGTTTAAAACCTTTACAATGAAGATCTGTGAAGTTATTTAGATTTTTACAAATTATCTTTGAAAGACAGGGTCCTGAAAAAGGGACGTTTCTTTTTTTTGTTGAGTTTATATCATGGTAGGATAGAAATCACACAACTCTCTCTCTCTCTCTCTCTCCTCTCTCTCTCTCTCTCTCTCTCTCTCTCTCGCTCTCTCTCTCTCTCTCTCTCTCTCTCTCTCTCTCTCTCTCTCCTGATTCAATAAATACTTTGTTGGCATGAATGGGTGGTTGCCACTGTTGCAAAGCAATGTATATGAAGTATTACATAAATTAACAATATGTTTGAGCAACGATAATAATATATAGGAAAATAATAAAGAAAACATTTAACAAACAGCAACAACTGAGAAATTAGATCTACAAGGGCTCATGTGTATGACATGGTGGGAGCTATTGTCTCTCTTATATTATGACAGGCCAGGACATAATCTGGAGCAAGATCTACTCTCTACATTTTCTTCTAACAAAATGCAGATGTTCTACTCAACAGGCAGTTCAAGAAATCCTGCAATGCTTTCTTCAAATTTCAGGAGATCAATACCTCATATTTTGAGCAGTGGAGTAGGAAGAGCTGCTCATTCTCTATTCACCCGACCCACAGTGCTTACATAGTCTTTCTTCTTTGACCTTCCATGTTGTCTATGGCGTCTGTCTCTTATATTGAAAGGCTATGCATCTCTCTCTATCTCTCTCCTATATCCCTCTCTCCTCTCTCTCTCTCTCTCTCTATCTTCTCTCTCTCTCTCTCTCTATATCTCTCTCTCTCTCTCTCTATGTCTCTCTCTCTCTCTCTGTCTATCTCTATCTATCTCTCTCTCTCTCTCTCTCTGTCGTCTCTCTCTCTCCTCTTCTCTCTCTTCTCTCTTCTCTCTCTCTCTCTCTCTCTCTCTCTGTCTCTGTCTCTCTGTCTCTGTCCTTGGGGTGTGAGAAAGAGGGGGAGAGATTGAGAGAGACAGAGTTAGTGAATGTAAAATAGAGGATGTTAATCATATGTTGGTGACACAGCTATTCTCCGTAGCAGATGTTTGGTGTAATTGAAAGGTTCTTTACTCATTAAAACTCCTCTCTTTGGACAGCGGCTGGTCTCGTTGGCAAGATAACTGAACTCCATTAAGTGAGAGTAGCATAAACAGGTTGGTTGTTTAGCATCAAAACCGATGCGTGTGCAACTATGTGGCAAAACAGACAGAGTTGGCTTAGATTGTTGACAACATGTAAACTACATTTAGTCTCAAATGTTTATTGAAAACAAATACATTTGCACAATGAGCACTTGTCTCAAATACATAATTATAGTTGTTGGTTAGCTAGCTAGCAAATTATTGCCATATTAGCATAGATGTGACATCAGTCAAAACACCTCAAAACAATGGTATCAAGAACAAGATAAAACTATCTGAAACAAGCCACCTACAATTCCCCACATTGCAACATCTTGTCATTGTTGCTAGCTATCTGGCCATCCCAAATCACAACAACACACAGACTTCTGCCCCATTGAAACATGTGCATTGTTTTCGTAACGTTGTCAGCTAACCATTCTATAAGGCAAAGTCAAAGGCACGCTCTCTGAACTGACTATGGGCTAGCCGCAAGAGTGAAGCTATTGGTGTATGGTTCTACATGCTGTATGATGCTTTGTCTGGGTAAAATCCTAACTTATCTACGTGTGGATATCTCAGTGTAATGTAGTCGCCGTATACCTACGTGCGGTTCTGGTTCGGGGATGCACAGAGTGCACGAGAGTTGTATTGTAAAGGCAGAATTTTCATGTGCAGCGCTGCAGAAACTAGTATAGTTATGTAGAAGCTTTGGGACAATTGTAACAACTGATGGCCACTAGATTATCGCCAGTTGATATCGCCAGCTCTCGTTAAACCATAAATACGAGCTAAAACCACCCACATAACTGATCTCAATTGCAACCATCATCCACCACCGTTTAACCTCTTCATAACGCAGATTTCCAAAAGGCTTCTTAACAGCTTCTACCCCCAAGCCATAAGACTCCTGAACAGCTAATCAAATGGCTACCCGGACTATTTGCATTGTTCTCCACCCCCTCTTTTACGCTGCTGCTACTCTCTGTTTATTATCTATGCATAGTCACTTCAATTATACCTACATGTACATATTACTTCAACTACCTCAACTAACCGGTGCCCCCGCACATTGAACCTGTACTGGTACCCCCTGTATATAGCATCGTTATTGTTATTTTTACTGTTATTTTACTGCTTTTATTTTTTACTTATCTGTTGTTTACATAACACTTATTTTTCTTAAAACTGCATTGTGACAAATACAATTTGATTTGATTTCGGGGTTATCTTTTAGTCCTGATTACAACCAACATTTTTCAAGATTATTTTGCTCTCTGGTGGGTAATATCATCGGAACATTTTAATCGTGCTTGTTGAGCAGACTAAAGGCGATTTATCTATGTGACAATCATTCCGTACAACTGAAATAAAGTATTTCCTTTTTTACCACGGCAAATCTACTGTGGCAATTTTCCCGACAAGTTGTATGATGGAAAAGTAATGTTAAAGGTGTAGCCTACTCTTATTATTTTATTCAGTTCCAATTGATGTAATCCATTAAATACAACTGTCTTTAAAAGAAAATGGTCTGATATGGTCATATCTTGTCAAGATCGGGGGTAAAATATCCCTGGATAATCCATATTTGAAATTTGCAACTAAATCAAGTAAATAAAAATATATTTTGTATCAAATTAAGATATCTTGAAAGTCAATTATTATGTTATTTTGCCATTTAAGGTGAAGCGTTTGAATGAAATATAGGCCTACTACTTCTATATTCTTATGCTCAAATAAGTATTTTTGACATCCAGCAGCCTTGGTTTCTGATGCTCCTGATATTACAGGGCGGTAGTAGAGAATCTAGACCAGCTGTCTGGTATCATAGTCACTTGACACGGTAACAATGAGAGATCAACTGATCTGCTGTTTTATCCTTGTGAGGTTTTTGTTGCAATCAAGCTTAGTTTAACCCGCAGGTGCATGTTATCTCCCGTTCGTAGCATTTTAAGAAATCCAGCGGTAACCTGCAGGAGCGCGTTAAGTTCGCCTTTACCTCCTCAAAGCTGAAAGAAAGATTCTCGTCCTTCTCTCTTTTGCCCTCCCTCCCTCCCGCTCTATCTCTCTCCTCCTTGTCTCTCCTCCTCTCCCCTAGAGCCCTATAGCCCAGCGGTGTGGGTGATGATGTTTGTAATGTGCCTGACTGTGGTCGCTGTGACTGTATTCGTGTTCGAGTACTTCAGTCCTGTCGGCTACAACCGAAGCTTGGTCAGTGCCAAAGGTGAGTTGAGACACACCTGTCTGCTAGCCTGGATTTAGCTCAGAGGGCTAACACAGGAGACCTGGGTTAAAACTCAGTTGGTCATTAACACTGTTTATTCATACAAACACAGGAAAGTGTATCAGAGGTGTGTATCGGTTACACTAGTATCGGTAAGAGCTGTGTCCTACTACACAAAGAATTGTCTGAGATACTAGAAACATTAGTGGGCCATAAACTAGGTGCGCAATAGTTTTCAAGTGGCTTTATAGCAGGAGTTCCCAATTACATTCAGCTGTGGGACTGTTTATCCTTGAGCTTAGAGTCGGGGGGCCAGAACATAGTTATAAATAATGTATGCACTGCAAATTGACCGCAAGAATCCCAAACAGATATAGTATTTGACAAAAACAGGATCATTTCAAACCTTGGTTACATTGGGATACGATCACATATGCCTCTCTATTTATGCATGGGAATACTTGGGAACAGATTTCCTAAATTGAAATTACTTTGAGCTCATTTCCTGGTGATTTTACAGTCTTTTAAGTCCAATAACAAAAATGATATATATATATATATATATGTATTTCGTACAATTTGGGGGGCCAAATAAAATCCCCCGCGGACGGAATTTGGCCCGCGGGCCACCTATTGGGGAAACCTGCTTTACAGGTTACGAAACAGAATGTCAGACCGAGAGTTCCTGGGAGACTGTGGGGTATAGCCCTACGCACAACGAAGACGGCTATTCAATCCCAGCATGCCGAGATGCCAGAGCTCACTCTCGTCTCACGGTCTGAAAGGTCACTTCCTGGTTTAATTAGCGTTTGCCGCTAGGCTAATCTGACAGAGATGGATGTGGCTCTGCTAAGATGACCAAGATGGATGGACTGAGGCTGTGTTCCCCAACACGACACACAGCTAGAAGCAGGCTAGCGTCTAACGCAGTGTTCGCCAACACCACACACAATAGAGGCTAATGCTGTCTTCCCCAACATGATACACACCAGGTAGAGGCAGGCTAATGACTAACCTTTCAGTGGCTAGGTTAATGCTGAGAGGATCGCTAAAGCTGCTGGGTTGAGTGATGGGTTAGGGAACGACCTATGAATAGAAACATTATATACATTTGACCTTTTCAGCTCTCTATAAGGCCTAGTAAGGGGCTGTAGAAATTAGCTAATTGGAAATTCATGATTCTGTCATCAACTGTATAGGCACATGGACGTATAAGGAGTATGTTTCATGACACATATCAACAACATGGAGTATAGTGTCACTGAAGCTAGAGAGCTTTATAGATCCATTCATCCAATTGGACATCTGCTAATGAGGTTGTTATGATACCTTGGGTTTATTAAACAAACATCTAATCTCCACCTCCCTCTCCTCCCTAATATCCCCCTGCCTCCAACTTTCCACCCACCCCTCCTCCTCAGGGATGGGCAAAACTTACAAAAAACTATTACAAAATACAGATACAAAATATCATGAAGATCAATGTATCAAAATAAACTACAAAATACTTATATTTTGTAATGTATTTAATTAAAATACATATTTTGTATTTTAAAATGCTAAAATACATTTGCAAGTAGCCGGCCAGAACAGCAACATCATTCTCAGTAACGGTTACAAAAACGTTTTACTTGCTATGACTGTGATATGTTGTTGTTTATTTACCTTAGTTGAGCAAGTCACTCTGGATAAGGTTGTCGCTAAATGACCAAAATGTGAATGTACTATATACAGTATGTGAAAATGAACATACCTAAATGAATTGCAAAGGGGCAGAGTTCATTAGAATAATACTCAGCATGCTTTGCAATTGTACATTTTTACATACACATTTATTTTTAGTTAATTTAGCAGACACTTTTATCACACCATAGTGCTATCATACATCTGATACTAATGCAGGGTGAAAGGGGGGCCACAAAATGTGAATCGCTATAAAAAATGGTAAAGAAAAGTATTTTGTATTTTGAAAATACAAATTACAGTATTCTGAAAATACAAATTACAGTATTTTGAAAATAGTAAATACAAAATACATTGGAGTGTAGTTCAGCCCAGTGTAATTCAAATTACAAAATACTCAGAAGTAATTAAAATATGTATTTCAAATATATGTAACAGAAATACTGCCCATCTCTGCTCCTCCTGCCCCCCCCCCCCACCCCCCCCACCCCCCACCCCCCACCAGCGCCCGGCGGTCCTACCTTCACCATAGGGAAGTCAGTGTGGCTACTGTGGGGCATCGTGTTCAATAACTCAGTCCCCATTGAGAACCCTAAAGGCACCACCAGTAAGATCATGGTGCTGGTGTGGGCCTTCTTCGCTGTCATCTTCCTGGCCTCCTACACGGCCAACCTGGCTGCCTTCATGATCCAGGAGCAGTACATAGACACTGTGTCTGGACTGTCTGACAAGAAGGTAGGACAACTAATCAATCCCTGAGTCATCCATCAATCCATCCATCCTGATAACTGTCCACTCTGGGCTCGTACTGTCAAAGATTCTCCCTGTCAGACCATAGCATTTACACATGCAAGCAAGCACACACACACACATACATTCTTCTTCATTTGGCTTGCTATTCCTCAGTAAATCACAGAAGAGGAAAATGACAAGCGACAAACTTCACTTCAGAGTGCGAGAGCGAGAAATAAATAAACAGAGAGACAGAGAATAGATACAGAGAGAGAGAAAAAGCCAGGGCCTCAGGAGAGGTATTGAGACAATATTATATTCTTCTCAGACAGTGAACACAACTGTGTATCCTGGCTGGGAATAAGCATCCTGACCCTCAGTGAGGCATGGCTGTATTAACCACTGGTTTCACTTATGCAGATAGCTCTGTCTGTACCACCGTTTACAATGCTGGTGGGTCGATATGGCCCGTAACAATATATTCATAAACCCCTTCCTACACACACTCAAGTGCATGCAGGCACACATACACACACACACACACACACACACACACACACACACACACACACACACACACACACACACACACACACACTCACACACACACACACACACACACACACACACACATACAAAGGATCTTATTGTAGGGAGGTCCATCCATCTACACAGGGCTCTGAAGGTCAATACTAACAGAGAATAATGGAGAGTTTTTATTTACACTTTAATTGGGTTTCATGAGTGTCTGGGTTCTGTGTTGTTCTGTCAAAGGTTTCATCCACCCTGCACTCTGAATCCTCTCAAATTGGAACTGACTTGACCAAACGGCCCTGAGTTGAAGTACTACACTCTAAAAAATCCTGGGTTAAAAACAATCCAGCGCTGGGTAAATAGTTATTTTTGACCCAGCAGTTGGGGCACTTAGTTGGGTTATTTATTTGAAATACATATTCTAATTACTTCTGAGTATTTTGTATTACACTGGGCTGAACTATACTCCAATGTAATTTGTAACAAGATGTTTTCGAAAGTTGTAATTTGTATTTTCAAAATACAAAATACTTTTCGATACAGTTTTTTAAAATAGCGGGTCACAATTTTGTGGCACCCTTTCACCCAACATTGATATCAAAAGTCTGATGGCACTATGGTGTGACAAGAGCGTCTGCTAAATGAACTAAACGTAAATGTATATGTAAAAATAAACAATTGGAAAGCATGCTGAGTTATTCTAATGAGCTTTAGGTCATTTAGCATTATCCAGAGTGATAGTGTATGCAGCTATGGTAGACAAACAACAATATATCACAGTCATAGCAAGTAAGAAGTTTCCGTAACCATTACTGAGGATGTTATTGCTGTTCGGCCGGCTACTTGCAAATTTAGTTTTGTATTTTAAAATACAAAATACATGTATTTTAATTCAATACAATACTTTGCAACAGTATCTTATATTTTATTTTGATACATTGGTCTTTCGGTATTTTGTAATTGTAATTTGTAATTTATGCCCATCCCTGGGTATGACCCACCTGGCCAGATCAGAAGACTGGAGGTGTGGCTAAGCAGGGGTGTGGCTTTCAGAAAGTTATTTTTGGCGACCCATGAGAGTAAATGTCAGTCAGGTTAATCTTGTCTGTGGTATTGTCAACAAGTTGCAATTTAGTGCTGACACTTTTGTAGCTTTAATGAGGCTTACACAAGAGAATGAGTTCCTCAAGCACCTATGCATATCCAAATGTTGGGATTGGTACCATGAATGACTTATTCCACATTTTGTTTTGTTACAAATTGGGATTAACATGGATTTCATTTTAATTTTTTGTCAATGATCTACACAAAATACTCTGTCAAAGTGGAGAAAAAAAAAATCTAGCATTTGTAAAAAATAAACATGAGAAATAAACACAAATATATTTTCATTAGATAAGTATTCAACCCCCTGAGTCAATAAATGCTAGAATCAAGCACACCCATAACATGATTCCACCACCACTATGCTTGGAAATATGGAGAGTGGTACTTAGTAATGTGTTGTATTGGATTTGGATTTGCCCCAAACATAACATTTTGTATTCAGGACAAAAAGTTAATTGCTTCACCACATTTTTTGCAGTATTACTTTAGTGCCTTGTTGCAAACAGGATTCATGTTTTGGAATACATTCTGTTCAGGCTTCCTTCTTTTCACTCTGTCAATTGGGTTAGTATTGTGAAATAACTACAATCTTGTTGATCCATCCTCAGTTTTCTCCTATCACAGCCATTAAACTCTGTAACTGCTTTAAAGTCACCTTTGGCCTCATGGTGAAATCCCTGAGCCGTTTCGTTCCTCTCCGGCAACTGAGTTAGAAAGGACCCCTGTATCTTTGTAGTAATTGGGTGTATTGATACACCATCCAAAGTGTAATTAATAACTTCACCATGCTCAAAGGGATATTCAATGTCTGCTTTATTATTATTATTATTTCATTTTTTTACCCATCAACCAACCTGTGCCCTTCTTTGCGAGGCATTGGAAAATCTCCCTGGTCTTTGTGGTTGAATCTGTGTTTGAAATTCACTGCTCGACTGAGGGACCTTACAGATAATTGTATGTGTGGGGTACAGAGATGAGGTAGTCATTAACAAATCATGTTAAACACTATTATAGCACACAGAGTGAGCATGCAACTTATTATGTGCCTTGTTAAGCAAATTTCTACTCCTGAACTTATTTAGGCTTGCCATAACAAAGGGTTTGAATATTTATTGACTGAAGACATTTCAGCATTTAATTTTTAATACATTTCACTTTGACATTATGGGGTATTGTGTGTAGGCCAGTGACAAAAAATATACATTTAATCAATTTTAAATTATGGAAAAAGTAAAGGAATGTGAATACTTTCTGAAGTCACTGCATTTTGTATTTTAAAATACAAACATACATTTGCAAGTAGCCGGCCGAACAACAACAACATTCTCAGTAACGGTTACAGAAACTTCTTACTTGCTATGACTGTGATACAGTATGCTGTTGTTTATCTACCTTAGTTGAATGCACTGTCACTCTGGATAAGAGCGTCTGCTAAATGACCAAAATGTAAATGTACATCTGAAAATGAACAACTGCAAAGCACTTGGTAAGGTCATTGGCCTTGTTTCGGTGTGGAAATGAACAATTGCAAAGCATGCTGAGTATTACTTGAATAAGTAATACTCAGCATGCTTTGCAATTGTTCATTTTTACATAGGCTATTCATTTACATTTCCTGTAGTTCATTTAGCAGACACTCTTATCACACCATAGTGCCATCAGACTTTTGATACCAATGTAGGGTGAAAGGGGGTCACAAAACTGTGAAACGCTATAAAGAAATAGTACAGAAAAGTATTTTGTATTTTGAAAATAGAAATTACAGCTTTCGAAAGTATCTTTTTAAGAAATACATTGGAGTGTAGGTCAGCCCAGTGTAATACAAAATACAAAATATTCAGAAGTACACTACAAGACAAAAAGTATATGGAAACATGCTCGTTGAACATACTCCTGAGTGGCGCAGTGGTCTAAGGCACTGCATCGCAGTGCTAACTGTGCCACTAGATCCTGGTTCGAATCCAGGCTCTGTCGCAGCCGGCCGCGACCGGGAGACTCATGGGCGGCGCACAATTGGCCCAGCGTCGGGTAGGGGAGGGAATGGCCGGCAGGGATGTAGCTCAGTTGATAGAGCATGGCGTTTGCAACGCCAGGGTTGTGGGTTTGATTCCCATGGGGGGCCAGTATAAAAAAAAAAAAATGTAATCACTAACTGTAAGTCGCTCTGGATAAGAGCGTCTGCTAAATGACTAAAATGTAAATGTAACATCTCATTCCAAAATCATGAGCATTAATATGGAGTTGGTCCCCTCTTTGCTGCTATAACAGCCTCCACTCTTCTGGGAAGGCTTTCCACTAGATGTTGAAACATTGCTGTGGGGACTTGCTTCCATTGAGGCACAAGAGCATTAGTGAGCTCGGGCACTGATGTTGGGTGATTAGGCCTGGCTCGCAGTCGGCGTTCCAATTCATCCCAAAGGTGTTCGATGGGGTTGAGGTCAGGGCTCTGTGCAGGCCAGTCAAGTTCTTCCACACTGATCTCGACAAACAATTTCTGTATGGACCTCGCTTTGTGCACGGGGGCACTGTCATGCTGAAACAGGAAAGGGCATTCCCCAAACTGTTGCCACAAAGTTGGAAGCACAGAATTGTCTAGAATGTCATTGTATGCTGTAGCATAAAGATTTCCCTTCACTGGAACTAAGGGGCCTAGCCCAAACCATGAAAAACAGCCCCAGACCATTATTCTTCCACCAAACTTTACAGTTGGCACTATGCATTAGGGCAGGTAGTGTTCTCCTGGCATCCGCCAAACCCATATTTGTCTGTCGGACTGTCAGATGGTGAAGCGTGATTCATCACTCCAGAAAACGTGTTTCCACTACTCCAGAGTCCAATGGCAGGAAGCTTTACACCACTCCAGCTGACGCTTGGCATTGCGCATGGTGATCTTAGGCTTGTGTGCGGCTGCTCGGCCATGGAAACCCATTTCATGAAGCTCCCGATGAACATGTATTGTGGCTGACATTGTTTCCAGAGGCAGTTTGGAACTTGGTAGTGAGTGCTTTTTTATGCTCTATACGCTCCAGCGGTCACGTTCTGTGAGCTTGTGTGGCCTACCACTTCGCGGCTGTTGCTCGTAGATGTTTCCACTTCACAATAACAACACTTACAGTTGACAGAGGCAGCTCTAGCAGGGCAGATATTTGACAAACTGACTTGTTGGAAAGGTGGCATCCTATGACGGTGCCACGTTGAAAGTCAATGAGCTCTTCAGTAAGGCCATTCTACTGCCAATGTTTGTCTATGGAGATTGCATGGCTGTGTGCTCGGGTGTGGCTCAAATAGCAGAATCCACTCATTTGAAGGGGTGTCCACATACTTTTGTATATATAGTGTGAATAAAATACGTATATCAAATACATGTAACAGAAATACTGCCCATTGCCGATCTTAGCTAAACACTGCAGAATCAACAACCCAACCTGGCTCTGGCAATGGATTCTTAAGTGACCCAACTGCTGGGTCAAAATAACCCAACATGTGTTCTGTCCAATATTTACCCAAATTGAGTTGTTTTTAACCCCCACTTTTTAGAGTGTAGACTGAACTCAATGTATGACTATTGAATTGACTCAAATAGAACGACCTTAAAATCTAATCAAATTAAAAAGGGTAGAATGGCATTCAATCAAATGAAAGTTAATTGAGTGGAACTGCATTTAATTGAATCAGTTTGAAATTAATATGACTTCTCTGAGTTAGATCTCATTGAACTGAATCTCCTCTCCTCATCACTTCCTACAGTTCCAGAAGCCTCAGGAGCACTACCCTCCATTCCGTTTTGGGACAGTCCCCAACGGCAGCACAGAGAGGAACATCAGAAGTAACTACCCTGACATGCACACACACATGGTCAAATACAACCAGAAAGGAGTGGAGGATGCCCTCAACAGCCTCAAGACAGGGTAAGAAAAATGCACTGCACTTAACCCTGAACTCTCCTCCAGCTTTCAACCCTAACCCTCATCCCAATGACCTCAAAATAAATGACAGTCCATTAGCCCCATAATTTGATTTAGTCCCATTTACTGGGAGGAGTTCCATTTGGCTCCTTGTGCATCTACTTTATAATTAATTCCCAATAGAATCTGAAGATTTATTTATTTATTTTTATCACTGTCTGATTCTTTTTTTGTGTCATTCAATAGGAAGCTGGATGCATTCATCTATGATGCTGCGGTGTTGAACTACATGGCAGGGAAGGACGAGGGCTGTAAGCTTGTGACTATCGGCTCTGGGAAAGTGTTTGCCACGACAGGCTATGGTATCGCCCTGCAGAAAGATTCCAGATGGAAACGACCCATTGACCTGGCCTTACTTCAGTTCCTGGGAGACGGTGGGTCACTGCAAACACATGCGCGCACGTACGCACTCACACACAGCCCGTAGAGCTGGCAGTTCTCAATTTCTTGATGACAGTGTGTGCAGCCTCACCAGGGGTGGAGCTTAGAGAGAGAGTTAATATCCTCCATCACAGTAGGGAGGTGTGAGGATGATAACCACTATGGACACACACACACACACACACACACACAAACACACACACACACACACAGTAGGAGTTAATATCCGCTATCACAGTAGGATTGTAGGGACCACAGGGAGGTGTTAGAGATATCATGTGGACAGTGTTGGGAATACAAACTATAAAACACACACATGCAGACACACACAGGTTTCTTATATAGGTATAACAGGAGCTTCAGTACATTTACCCATCTGTGGTCATACTGATATGGTACAATGATGGAAGTCGTCGCTTGTTCACTGCTAACCCCAATTTGTAAGTCATAAATAATGCATTCCTCAGTAGCCTACCCTTATTGAAAAAAAGCTAAAGCACCTGAATCTGACTATAGTGATTCACTGGTGAGTCCCTCCTCAAGGGGATTCTGACCATGTCCCTCTCCTCTCCTCTCTCCCAGGTGACACCCAGCGCTTGGAGACAGTCTGGCTGTCAGGCATCTGTCAGAATGAGAAGAACGAGGTGATGAGTAGTAAGCTGGACATAGATAACATGGCCGGGGTCTTCTACATGCTACTGGTGGCCATGGGGCTCAGTCTGCTGGTGTTCGCCTGGGAACATCTACTCTACTGGAAACTACGCAAGAAACTAGACAAGTCTCCTCGCATGGACTTCCTGCTCGCTATCAGCAGGGTGAGAGAGAGGTTTATGCTGAGAGAGAGGTTTATGGTTGGTTGGTTGATGTGTGGCCAATGTATAAAGCCTGATATGAGCTCTTAGTACTTTTTACACCACCTATAATTTCAATGACTACATTATCATCTGCCAGCTATAGTTTTAATGAGCACGAACCACAGTTACAATTCCAGCTCAACATTAGTGTTAATCAACAACCAATCTATGTAATGAAAAGCGTGGTTGTTGGAGAGAGGAGAGGCAGGAGCAAGGAAGGAATAAGAAAATAATTACTAGCCAAAAATCTATAAACTCAACTCGAACACCACTCTCACAAAGAGTGTGTGTGTGTGTGTGTGCACGTCCTGCTCTAGCAGAGTGTGATTGCAGAGTTGTGCCTGTATCAGGGCTTATCAGATTTGCAGCTAAATTACTATCTGATAATTAATCCCTATGGGGGCGCTTGAGGGCCAAATTAAATTGGGCTTTGTCCGTTTTTCAGTCGACTGTGAACGGTGCAGTATGAGACTATTTGCTCAGCATGTGTGTGTGTGTGTGTTCATTGTGTGTGTGTTTGTTTAGCTATAGGCAGTGTTATAGTACTCCAGATAGGTCTTCAAGATAGGTCTCGATCTCGAGTCCGGTCTCGAGACCACATATTGAGTGTCCCGGTCTTGTCTCGGTGTCGGATACATTTGTACTCGGGCTTGACTCGGTCTTGGACAGTGATGACTCATAATTTCTTCCCGAGACCAGCAGAGTAAAAAACTCATAATTATCAGCTTCCATTCAGTCAGCGCATAAAACTGCTTTGCCAGGCCAAATATTCTTTAAACATTAATACAGTATCTTAACAGCCTTCATATCTATTATAGTAGACATGTTTGCACAGTGGCGAACCTATAGGCCTTCAGTGTGTGTCAGGTTTGTGATTCTGAAAGGACAGCTACCGTAATAACAGCACACTCATGTAGGAGAGTGCACTTTTTGTAAAACACAAAGGGCCAGTGGTGGAGGCTATACGCAGGTATAAACCATATACCAACTTTTTTTAAGTGGGAATTGCGTATACTCACTTCTTAATCCCTACTGATGCGTATCAAAGTAGTGTAGTGGAGGTATTCCGTTTTAGGACCACTATTGTTTTCACTATATATTTTACCTCTTGGGGATGTTATTCGAAAACATAATGTTAACTTTCACCGCTATGCGGATGACACACAGCTGTACATTTCAATGAAGCATGGTGAAGCCCCAAAATTGCCCTCGCTAGAAGCCTGTGTTTCAGACATAAGGAAGTGGATGGCTGAAAACGTTTTACTTTTAAACTCGGACAAAACAGAGATGCTTGTTCTAGGTCCCAAGAAACAAAGAGATCTTCTGTTAAATCTGACAATTCATCTTGATGGTTGTAAAGTCGTCTCAAATAAAACTGTGAAGGACCTAGGCGTTACTCTTGACCCTGATCTCTCTTTTGACGAACATATCAAGACTGTTTCAAGGACAGCTTTTTTCCATCTACGTAACATTGCAAAAATCTGAAATTTTCTGTCCAAAAATGATGCAGAAAAATTAATCCATGCATTTGTTACTTCTAGGTTAGACTACTGCAATGCTCTATTTTCCGGCTACCCGGATAAAGCACTAAATAAACTTCAGTTAGTGCTAAATACGGCTGCTAGAATCCTGACTAGAACCAAGAAATTTGATCATATTACTCCAGTGCTAGCTTCCCTACACTGGCTTCCTGTTAAGGCAAGGGCTGATTTCAAGGTTTTACTGTTAACCTATAAAGCGTTACATGGGCTTGCTCCTACATATCTTTCAGAGTTGGTCCTGCCGTACATACCAATACGTACGCTACGGTCACAAGACGCAGGCCTCCTAATTGTCCCTAGAATTTCTAAGCAAACAGCGGGAGGCAGGGCTTTCTCCTATAGATCTCCATTTTTATGGAACAGTCTGCCTACCCATGTGAGAGACGCAGACTCGGTCTCAACCTTTAAGTCTTTACTGAAGACTTATCTCTTCAGTAGGTCATATGATTGAGTGTAGTCTGGCCCAGGAGTGTGAAGGTGAACGGAAAGGCTGGAGCAACGAACAGCCCTTGCTGTCTCTGCCGGGCCGGTTCCCCTCTCTACTGGGGTTCTCTGCCTCTAACCCTGTTGCAGGGGCTGAGTCACTGGCTTGCTGGTGCTCTTTCATGCCGTCCCTGGGAGGGGTGCGTCACTTGAGTGGGTTGAGTTACTGACGTGATCTTCCTGTCTGGGTTGGCGCCCCCCCCTTGGTTTGTGCTGTGGTGGAGACCTCTGTGGGCTATACTCGGCCTTGTCTCAGGATTGTAAGTTGGTGGTTGGGGATATCCCTCTAGTGGTGTGGGGGCTGTGCTTTGGCGGAGTGGGTGGGGTTATATCCTTCCTGTTTGGCCCTGTCCGGGGGTTTCTTCGGATGGGGCCACAGTGTCTCCGGACCGCTCCTGTCTCAGCCTCCAGTATTTATGCTGCAGTAGTTTATGTGTCGGGGGGCTGGGGTTAGTTGGTTATACCTGGAGTACTTCTCCTGTCTTATCCAGTGTCCTGTGTGAATTTAAGTATGCTCTCTCTAATTCTCTCGTTCTCTCTGAGAACCTGAGCCCTAGGACCATACGTCAGGACTACCGGGCATGATGACACCTTGCTGTCCCCAGTCCGCCTGGCCTTGCTGCTATTCCAGTTTCAACTGTTCTGCCTGCGGCTACGAAACCCCTACCTGTCCCAGACCTGCTGTTTTCAACTCTTAATGATCGGCTATGAAAAGCCAACTGAGAGACCTGAGCCCTAGGACCATACGTCGGGACTACCGGCCGTGGTGACTCCTTGCTGTCCCCAGTCCGCCTGGCCTTGCTGCTATTCCAGTTTAAACTGTTCTGCCTGCGGTTATGGAACCCCTACCTGTCCCAGACCTGTTGTTTTCAACTCTTAATGATCGGCTATGAAAAGCCAACTGAGATTTATTCCTGATTATTATTTGACCATGCTTGTCACTTATGAACATTTTTGAACATCTTGGCATGGTTCTGTTATAATCTCCACCCGGCCCAGCCAGAAGAGGACTGGCCACCCCTCATAGCCTGGATCCTCTCTAGGTTTCTTCCTAGGTTTTCGCCTTTCTAGGGAGTTTTTCCTAGCCACCGTGCTTCTACACCTGCATTACTAGCTGTTTGGGGTTTTAGGCTGGGTTTCTGTACAGCACTTCGAGATATTAGCTGATGTAAGAAGGGCTATATAAAATAAAATTGATTGATTGATTGATTCGTCTTATCAATTATGTAGTACAATAGAGAAATCATGCACAAAGTAGCCTACACAATCGCAAAGCACGTGAAATCTATTCACATGCACGCCGCACAAAAAGCGTAGTTTCAGCTAACTAATGCAACAATGGGTACACAAACCAGGTATTGAAAAAGTTTAGTCCGAAGTGTTGGTTAGTAGGCTATTTGTGATGCGCAGTTGTCATCATGCGCTGTTTGCATCAGGGGTGTAGACATGGATGGACCTGGGTTGACAGAGGCCCACCCACTGGGGAGCCAGGATCTGACAGGCACAACCAATCAGACTGATGTGGTTTAAGCATTGTTGTGGACTTAGACTTTTCTATTTTTAAAAAGTGTGATTTTGAGAATGGAAATCTGAAAAATCTATAGGAAAACTCATTAAAAAACAGGATTTTTCACATGGTCCCTTTGCTGGGAACTTTTTGGCAAAATTTGAGTATACCCACTTCTCCAGGCACCACTACATAGGGCCGATGGAAAGACAGCAGTCACAGACAGCATGATGTTAAAGGATAAGCAGTCCATAAACTCAGACATAATAAGTCAGTAGGTCCCAATCATAAGATTACAAAAACACAACCATTAAGAAATTCCCATTGCATAAACATAATCACTTTCAGCACACAAAGTAACCAGTGACCTAAAGTTTTCAGATATGAAACAGACAGTCATAATATCAGTCAAAAATATCAAATTCCCAGTTTATGCTACGAAACCAACTTTATAAGAGGTTTTAAAGATAGGTTATATTTTACTCAACGTTCCATGACGTACACTAAGACATTGTTGGCAGAATAGATGGATGCAGTTCAGTGCATGATTAATATAATTCACCAATACATTTCCTGGTAGTCCCAAAAATATTGCTAACAGGTTGTAAATCACAGTTGGCCTGATACATTGTTTGCTGCCTCCATTCGGGAGGCACTGTTTCAGTTTCAATGACTCAATATTCTGGACAAAAACTGACGAATGTAACTAAGGCTGGGAATGCCAATACAATCAAACTAGCAAGGGCAATGATAGCAATGATCACATTGCAGTGATCACAGTCATAACGTGACTAATAGGCTAGCGTATCTATTTATGTAGCAAGCTAAAAACACAGAGCCTAACATTAGCTAGATAGCTAGCTAGCTAGCTGCTATGAGGATGTAATGTCATGCCATTGGAGGAGTAGGTGAGTGACTGACTTTTTTCCCTCATGTCGTTTTTCGGTGGCTATACACAGCTAAAGATGCAGGTGTCATTTGCTTAGCTAGCAAGAACTTGAACGACAGTTATCCAGTCAGCATATCTCTTGCATTTGCAAATTCACTCTGGTTATCTACTCCGATTTCAGAGCACTCTCCTTTTAGTGTGCCAGAGCGCAGAACAACTGATTAATTTACGAACGAGCAACATCTGCTGAATATGATTGATGTCAGTAAACGTAGACAAAAAAGTAATAGTTAGTCAAGAACGCACTAGATAACATGTAAACAGCCTAACCAGCTCTGCTACGGTGAGTAAAATTGTTAGAGTGAGGTGTTCTCTCATTTGTGTCTGGAAGTAGCTAGCTAGCAAGCTAGCCAAATTTAGCCAGTTAGCTTGGGTGCTTGGTTGGGACAAGCATGCATTGGCAGGCAAGCTGCAGAAGGACGAGGAAGCTACAATTCCCCATCGTTTGTCAGTGCAATTTTGACAGCCAACTAGCTGAAAACGTTTGAGAGGGTTTATCTAATGTTCCTTTGTTAGATTTTAGCTAATCTTGCTCTGGCTAGCATTAGTTGTTTATATTGTTGTTGTTGATGTGCATCACTGAGGGAGAGAGAGCCTACCTTTTCATGGTTGTTTGATAGGACTGTAAAGTTTCCAGTTGTAAGAGGACTCCTGTGGTGTTTACATATTTGCAGAAATCCATTCAGGTGTGTTTTGTGGCTTTTGGTGAATGAGTTCTAATTGTCGTTCTGTTGCAACTGCCTGTAAACACACAGTCCAGTTCCAAGTGAATGATGGCAGGCCCATGTGGCAAATGGCTTGTTTGTATAAAGGCTTACTGTAGCTCTGATTGGCTATAGCGCACCAGTCTGTGTAGACTCTGGTCCTTGACAAGACTGATGTTTTTATTTACTGTAGTGTCTATTAATTGTCCAAATGCACGGCCGCTTTCCCACTCTATATTGATGTAGTATTTTCGCAAATTCCTTAGTATACGTAATTCCCAAACATTTAAAGAATTTATGAAAACGTGAAAATGACCATATCTAAGTGGTCGCTTGTCAGAATAAAGTGTCATTTACTTCCTGGGCGTGTATATGAACAGATTTGAATAGGATTTCATGTTGCTAAAATGCTCTTAGTTCCACTTTAAATGTGTTTCACACATAAATTATTTTCAAAGAGATTGCTAACAACAGCAAGCGTGCTGCAATAAAAAACACAGTTTCACTCACCAGATTTGAAACTTAACTTCTTGTTGAAAGTTATTCTTGAAAAGGGATAAGCTAACAAATTAGCAACAACATCCTCTTTCATAACACCTGCTGCAGCCGCTAAAAACTAGCCAACAACAAAAGCTTGAATCGGTCTCGCTTTAGGTGGTCTCGAGCACAACACTGGCTATAGGGATGTTCTATATAATCAGGGGCATGTAAAAGGAATTCCTAACTTCTGTAAACTGGCAAAATTAGTTTAATGAATTTACATTCTTACTATATGTGAGGTGTAAGTTTTGAGCCAGCTCTTCTCTCTACAGGGCTTCTAGGTTAGCTGAAGGTTAAGTGTAATAATTTTCTCGCTCTCGCTCCTCCCCCCCATTCCTCTCTCCCTTCCTCTACTTTCCCTACCTCCATCTCTCCCCCCTATCCCTTTCTCCCTCTCTATTCCGTCTCCCAGGGTATCTACAGTTGCTTCAACGGGGTGGAGGAACCAGACCACCCTAACCTGGCAAACCCAGATCTGACAGCTAACTACGCCCAGGCTAACATGCTTAAGATGCTACGCACCGCTAAAGACCTGGTCAACTCCGCCCAGGTCGAAACCTCACTGGACCACGCCACCAAGACCATAGAACACTGGGGTCGCCATGGCGGCAACCTGCCAGTCCACATTCCACAGCAGGTCACCACGGAAATGGTTCCGGGAGGGTTTGCTTATGTCACAGAGAATACACACACACACCTGCCCCCCGAGCGCCCCCTCAGCCAGCAATACTGCACGCTGGGTGTAGTGACTTCTCTGAAAAGGCAGAAGGGGCTGGCGAGACCCACGCCGCTACGATACACGCTCCCGGCTCGCACTTCCTCTCTCTACGACAGACCACTTTCTGTTTCTAGTCTCAGTAGCTCTCACCTTGACCTGGCTGGGGGGGACCCCCTCTCTTCCTACTCTCAACCCTCCACAGGTAGGCTGTATGTGGAGCCCCAGCACCTATCCCACCTCCGCTCTCCTTTCATCCCCTATAGTGAGCTTCAGCTGCCAGACATCTACCCCTTCTCTCACCGCCCCTCTGCCATCTCCCATCCATCGCACACAGAGCCCTACAGAAAGAATAGGAGGAGCAAGAGCCTCCTCTCAGGGGAGTCAGGAGGAGGAGGAGTAGGAGAGAGGAGGAGGCGCAGGGAGGAGAAGACGGTGTGTCTGGCTGAACTCCGGGCCAACCACCTCCAGGAGAACAACATCTCACCCCAGATGCCTGACTCCCTGTACCCAGGAGCGGTGCTCTGTCCTGGGGGAGAGGGCTGTGTTGGCTCCTGGCCTCTTCCCCTGGAGGAGCTGGTTCTGGCAGGCAGACGGAGGCTCCACCGACGGCCATCTTTCCTCCGAGCCACCTGGGGGAGTGAGCGGATTCTCCAGCCAGACGAAACGCCGCCTATATCCCTTGATAGCCAATCACATTCTGCTTTACCAGACCTGTTCCCCTGCGTCATGGCCGAACAAGAAACTCCCATTAAACTCTACAACCCCGCCCCCCTCCGGAACAACCTATGCTACCCTGCCACCTCAACTCGCCAGCATGCGTATCTCCATATAAGGCAGGACCAGAGGAAAGGGAACGGACGTAAGAAGCTGCGGTACTCAAACTCCACCCACCTGCCCACCTACAGGGAGGCCGTGCTGGGGGGCCAGGGAGGCGGAGGGGGGGTAGGCCTTGGGGTGGTCCGGAGAGCCACCAACCTGCTCAGCAGACAGTACTCCCACTATCTAACCTCCTACCCTGGGCTGCCTCTCTACCATGGCCCCCAGGACCTCCAGGCCCATTCCCAGGCATCCAGCAACCACCCCAGCCCCGGTATATACCCTAGTCCTAGCCCAGTATGCCAGCCCCTGCCCTGTGGAGGTGGCTATCGAGGCCAGAGGGGGTTGTTGTACCAGGACAGTCTGTATGGTGCCTATGGGGCCTATGGAGCCTACCGAGGGGACCAAGATCCGGGCTTAGAGCCCCAGAAAGGAGATGGCTCGGTAGGCTTGAGGTCTGAGGACAGATCCTGTGTGACCCGGCCCTGGGGACGCGTCTCTAGTCTGGAGTCAGAGGTCTGAGAGACACAGACAAACACTACAGACATTATATGCTGGAATTTATACTATAGAATATAAGATTCGACTTCCACATTGAAGATTTGTGATCCACAGTGACCGTTTCGGAGGGGGGTGGGATATGTCTCACACACAGAAATAGGTACACAAAGGATTTGTACAGTAAAGGTGGTAAGCTGAGGGGTAGATAGGTTGGACAGTTGAACTTCCTTATTCCTTATTGAAGAGACAAAGTAGAGTGTTTGACTGAATGTTAATTGGCCATTTTGGAAAAGCATGAAACTGAAAGGATGTGTAGTGGAGGTGACTGTACTGTAGCTAGCTCAGTCTAGCACAGTGACGTCCCCTTTTCTCAAAAGGTTTACACTCTTAGAAAAAAAGGTGCTATCTAGACCCTAAAATGGTTCTTCGGCTGTCCCCACAGGAGAAGCCTTTGAAGCACCCTTTGATTTTGATGGAATGTTGATTTTACTTGCTGCTTTCAAACATTATATTCCTGTGTTCTGTGCATTGTATTACGTGGCCACGATGTACAGAGTCAGTATTGTTGCTGTGTGGGACAGATGCTCTCAGAGATGTCACATAGCCCAGAGAGCTGTGTTTTTGTGTTCTGTGTGTGTGTGCTATGTGTGTTCTGTGTGTTTTCAGCCCTTGCTGGGTTATTTCCGAGCCCTTCTCCACTGAGCCGAGCGAGAGGGGAACATATCTTCAGCTCTGCATCTAAGCAAAAAACCTCCCACAACCATACACACTTACAAGATCACAGTTACCTGTATCTATTGACTGCTATGTACAAGGCCATGACAACCCAGCTATGTTTATAAGTATGAATACAGTTAAAGTTATCAGAACTCAGGATACGACCCAAATGCGGACAGTTCGAATCACAGATGTTTATTAACAAAACAGGGGTTAGGCAGATGACAGGTCAAGGGCAGGCAGAGGTCGGTAATCCAGGGCAGAGTCAGTAAGGTACAGAACAGCAGGCAGGCTCAGGGTCAGGGCAGGCAGAATGGTCAAAACCAGAAAAACTAACAAAAACAGGGGCTGGAGAGAAACAGGAGTACGGGAAAAACACGCTGGTAGACTTGGCGAGATAAGACAAACAGGCAACAGACAAACAGGAAACGCAGGTATAAATACACAGGAGTTAATGGGGACAAATGGGAGACACCTGGTGGGGGGTGGAGACAAGCACAAGACATGTGAAACAGATCATGGTGTGACAAAAGTATCTGGAGAAGAATTACAATAAAAAGGTTTCCGTTGTAGATAAGAACACACTGTATATTGATAAGGAATACGGACAGCTTAGGGCTGGATACAATCCCAATTGTGGAAGTATCGAGAAAGATCCGCATTAAAATATAAATAACATTTTCCGATTTAGAAAACATATGCAGCGTTTACCGTAAGTGCAGTCTCCACAAATGTGGGAACATTGCCTATAATGAGCTATAACGCTGATCTTCCGCAATACTTCGGGGATATGTTGAATCCAGCCCTTAGTGTGTGTATCTACAGTGCAATAAAAACGTTTCAGCTGTAGAAGTGATCCTAACTCAGAAGCTATATAATCCTGGATGTTGATCTACGGTGTTCCCACTCTGATGGTTAAGGTAAGGTTTTTGGGAAGGTAGTCTAATACTAGATCTCTGCCTACTCTGAGCACCTCACACTGGATGGATGATACATCCACAGCAGCAAACAATCTAATAGGGCTTCTCATCAGATTTACAGAGCATTCGGAAAGTATTCAGACCCCTTGACTTTTTCCACATTTTGTTACGTTACAGCCAGGATTAAATAGTTTTTTCCCCCCTCATCAATCTACACACAATACCCCATAATGACAAAGCAAAAACTGAAATATCACATTTAAATACGTATTCAGACCCTTTGCTCTGTACTTTGTTGAAGCACCTTTGGCAGTGATCACAGCCTAGAGTCTTCTTGGGTATGATGCTACAAGCTTGGCACACCTGTATTTAAGGAGTTCCTCCCATTCTTCTCTACAGATCCTCTCAAGCTCTGTCAGGTTGGATGGGGAACGTCGCTGCACAGCTATATTCAGGTCTCTCCATAGACGTTCGATCGGGTTCAATTCTGGGCTCTGGCTGGGCCACTCAAGAACATTCAGAGACTTGTCCCGATGCCACTCCTGTGTTGTCTTGGCTGTGTGCTTAGGGTTGTTGTCCCGTTGGAAGGTGAACTTTTGCCCCAGTCTGAGGTCCTGAGCGCTCTGGAGCAGTTTTTCATCAAGGATCTCTCTGTACTTTGCTCTGTTAATCTTTCCCTCGATCCTGCCTAGTCTTCCTGTCCCTGCCACTGAAAAACATCCCCACAGCATGATGCTGCCACCACCATGCTTCACCATAGGGATGGTGCCAGGTTTCCTCCAGACGTGACACTTGGCATTCAGGCCATTGAGTTCAATCTTGGTTTCATCTGACCAGAGAATCTTGTTTCTCATGGTCTGAGAGTCCTTTCGGTGCCTTTTGGCAAACTCCAAGCGGGCTGTCATGTGCCTTTTACTGAGGAGTGTCTTCCGTCTGGCTAATCTACCATAAAGGCCTGATTGGTGGAGTGCTGCAGAGATGGTTGTCCTTCTGGAAGGGTCTCCCATCTCCATAGAGCAACTCTGGAGCTCTGTCAGAGTGACCATCGGGTTCTTGATCACCTCCCTGACAAAGGCCCTTCTCCCCCGATTGCTCAGTTTGGCCGGGCAGCTCTAGGAAGAGTCCTCGTGGTTCCAAACTTCTTCAATTTTTAAGAATAATGGAGGCCACTCTGTTCTTGGGGAAATTCAATGCTGCGGAAATGTTTTGGTACCCTTCTTCAGATCTGTGCCTTGACACAATCCTTTCTCGGAGCTCTACGGACAATTCCTTCGACCTCATGGCTTGATTTTTGCTCTGACATGCACTGTGTCAATTGAATTTACCACAGGTGGACTTCAATCAAGTTGTAGAAACATCTCAAGGATGATCAATGGAAACGGGATGCACCTGAGCTCAATTTCGAGTGTCATAGCAAAGGGTCTGAATACTTATGCAAATAAGGTGTTTCTGTTTTTAAATTTTTTATACATTTGCCAACATTTCAAAAAATCTGTTTTCGCTTTGTCATTATGGGGTATTGTGTGTACATTGATAAGGATGTTTTTTTATTTAATCAATTTCATAATGAGGCTGTAACTGTCACGCCCTGGCTCTGGGGACTCTTATATGTTGAGCCAGGGTGTGGATTTTCTATGTTTTGTTTTCTATGTTTTTGGTTCTAGTTCATGTTGATCTATGTTGGCCAGGGTGGTTCCCAATCAGAGACAGCTGTAGCTCGTTGTCTCTGATTGGGGACCATACTTAGGCAGCCTTTTGGCATGTTAGGGTGTGGGATCTTGTTCCGTAAGGTTTTGTGTTGTAACCTAGGACTTCACGTATCGTTCGTTTGTTGTTTTGGTTTGTGTGTGTACACAATAAAGTATGTACGCTTATCACGCTGCGCCTTGGTCCGCTTCATCTTATAATGATCGTGACAGAAGATCCCACCACCAGAGGACCAAGCAGCGTGCCCAGGAGGAGAAGTTGGCGATGTCCCAGGTGGGCGAATGGTGGTCTTGGGAGGACATATACGCGGGCAGAGGGCCATGGGCAAAAGTAAATGCCCAGGCAGGAGAGGAGAAACGGCGCCAACCGTGCCGACGACGGACACGCGAGAGGCAACCCCAAGTAATTTTTTTGGGGGGCTACAGGACGAATCGGCGGATTAGGAGAGGAGGCCATCAGGTTTGGGGGGCTGGAAGGGTGGTTGGCGGAGCCTAGAGGTAGAGCAGAGCCAACTCCCCGTACTCATGCTAGGCAGCGTGAGACTGGGCAGGTTCCGTGTTATGCGGAGCCACGTACTGTGCCGCGAGTGTTCCGGCACAATCCTGTACGTCCTGTGCTAGCACCACGCACGTGTCGTGCTAAGGTGGGCATGCAGCCAGGACGGAGTGTGCCGGCCTAACGCTCGTGGCCTCCAGTACCCCTCCTCGGTCCCGGATATCCTGCGCCAGTGCCACGTACTGTAGTGCAAGTACGAGTGCACAGCCCTGTACGTCCTGTGCTGATGCCTCACACAGATTGTGTGGAGATAGGTATTCAGCCAGGACGGGTTGTGTCAGCTCTCCGCTCCAGACCTCCAGTCCGTCTCCACAGTCCAGCCAGACCAGTGGTGCGCGTCGCCAGCCCGGTCCGGCCCGTTCCTGCTCCCCGCACCAAGCCAGTGGTGCGCGTCGCCAGCCCGGTCCGGCCTGTTCCTGTCCCTCGCACCAAGCCTGTGGTGCGCGTCGCCAGCCCGGTCCGGCCCGTTCCTGCTCCCCGTACCAAACCAGTGGTGCGCGTCGCCAGCCCAGTCCGGCCTGTTCCTGCTCCCCGCACCAAGCCAGTGGTGCGCGTCGCCAGCCCAGTCCGGCCTGTTCCTGCTCCCCGCACCAAGCCAGTGGTGCGCATCCTCAGCCCGGTCCGGCCCGTTCCTGCTCCCCGCACCAAGCCAGTGGTGCGCGTCGTCAGCCCGGTCTGGCCCATTCCTGCTCCCCGCACCAAGCCAGTGGTGCGCGTCGTCAGTCCGGCACGGTCCGTGCCTGTTCAACCGGTGCCTGGTCCGGCACCGGTCAGCTGCTCCACTCCGGAGCCAGAGCAATCCGCTCCACCAGTGTTCAGTCCAGCTCCGGCCAGCGGGACCAGACCAGGGGCGCAACGGGGGGGTAGAGAGAGAGTGGTGGTCACGCCCGGAGCCGGATCCGCCTCCGAGGCGGAATGCCCACCCGACCCCTACCCTGTTGTGTTGGTGTGGCGCTGTCGCTGTCGCAGTCCGCGCCTTTGGGGGGGGGTACTGTCACGCCCTGGCTCTGGGGACTCTTATATGTTGAGCCAGGGTGTGGATTTTCTATGTTTTGTTTTCTATGTTTTTGGTTCTAGTTCGTGTTGATCTATGTTGGCCAGGGTGGTTCCCAATCAGAGACC